TGCTCTTGACAGATGGCACCCCAGTTGGGAAATACTGTTCTAGAGCAATATAACTGTCATAAGTCTACACTCCCTAATGAGACACATGTTAGACACATGCTATCCTGGCAAGTGTGGGCATCACAGCTGAGATACTTGCCTGTTCTCTAATTTGACTCTGTTGAGCAACATTCCTTGGAAACCTTGGGTTTCATTACAGCAGATATCTCTATGTCACTAATAACCATGTGTCCTGTGTACCAAAATAAGGTTAAGGACACTGTATAGTCAGTGCTTATAAAAAGCCCTAGTAAAAACCTAGAGCAGTGTATGGGAGTCAGTGTATCACATGTAAGTGAGATATCAGAGCAACATGCTGACCGATGACCAGTTCAAAGAAATAATTTACCAAACAATGAAAATTCTGTCATCATTTACTCCCCCTCATGCTGTTTAAAACCGGTATGACTTTATTCCGTTAATCATAAAAAGACAAATGTAACTCTTTGGAATGCAATGAAAAGAAACTGGATTTCAAGCTTTAAAAAGTACATGAACAAATCAGTTAGGCTTCATGACACATACATTATATAAGTCTTCCGAACCTAGAGCAGCATTATTGCTTTTGTGTGAGAAATAGATCAAAATTAAGGGCCCTATTTTAACGATCTAAGTGCATGGTCTAAAGCGCACGGCGCAGGTGCACTCAGGGCGTGTCTGAATCCATTTTGCTAGTTTAACGACGGTAAAACAGTCGGCTCGCCCGGGCGCATGGTATAAACGGGTTGTCCCTATTCTCTTAATGAGTAATGGGTGTTTTTTGGGCGTAATGTGCAATAAATCAATAAGAGTCTCGTCTCCCATCCCCTTTAAAAGCCAGCTGCACTCGCGCCATGGCGGATTCGCTATTTACATGGCGGAATGTAATTTTTCATTTTAAAAAATGTTTGTGTGCTGCTGCGCGTCCCTGTGTGTGTTATAAGCAAAGTGTATGTGCGCTGTGCACCTGCCTATAGGCACATATTACTAACGCGCTCTTTAAATAACAAAAAAAAATATTGCGCCAGACTTTAGACCAGGTTTGAGTTGGTCTATGGCGCAGTCTATTTTCAGTTCCTCAAAATAGCAACGTGCCAACAATGTGACTGAACACACCTCTTTTTTAGACCAGCACGCCCATGGGCGCACAATTGGGCGCAAATGCATTTGCTATTTAAACAATGCGGCGCAGGACAGGAAAATGAGAACTGCGGGGTGTATGATAGAGCCCTAAATCTGTTTTAAAAAAAAATCACAATCCGCAAATGTCATTCTTTTGAATGTCATACATTCAATTATGACACCCGCAACGTGTCACATCATGTTTGACATAAACGAAGCACTCAAAAAAGATGGATGTTTGATATAAAATCTGGCATGACAGGTTTTTAACGGGTTTACCATGTATAACTTCCTGTACGACTTTCTTTTTTTCTGTAGAACGCAAATATTTTTAACCATTTTTGCCTATACAATGAAAGTCGGTGGGGTCCAAAACAACAAGAGACCCCGTTAACTTTCATTGAATTTTGAGTTCCACAGTAGAAAGAAAGAAATACAGGTTTGGAACAACATGGCGGTGAGTAAATTATGACAACATTTAGATTTTTGGGTGAAATATCCCTTTAATGCATCATATTTAAAAGTAAAAATGCTCAGTTGAGTCGACACTTGAGAATTGCAGCCGATGTAAAGATTTTCGGTGAATAATGAGTAAATTTGGTAACACTTTTTGTTTTGATGGTTCCCTTTACACATCCTGCTGACTATAAGTAACTTTGCAAGTACAAGTCAGCTTATTCTACTCACCTTAACCCTTACCTAAGAGTTTAATACCCCACTAATGCTATAATGCGAGTTTCAAAGGTACATACAGTCAACAGAATGTCTAAAAGGGGACCATCAAAATAAAGTATAAGCTTAAATTTTGGCCTGTTGTCACACAAAGATGTCATATGGGATTGAAAAGAGACATATGGAGCACATTTATGATACTTTTGTGGCTGGTGCTTTAATGGTGCAGTCCCCATTCAGTTTCAAAGTATGGAAATGAACACTTGGGACATTCTCCTTTTGTGTTCAGTGAAAACAAAACAAAACAAAGAAAATTGGAATGGTATGAGGGTGAATTAATGATTTTTGATAAATTATGACTTTTATTCATATACATTTTCATTTTTAGGTGAACACTCTGCTTTAAGGGCCTGTGTCCGCTTTCTTACCACTGAGGGAGAAGTCCACACTAGAGGCTCCAAATATGATACTGTCTTTGGAGTAGATGGCAACCTCACGGTCAGCTCGCAGGTCATACAGACGACACTGAAACAAGACGAAAGTTCACAGTGAGCTCAGTATGAACTTACAGAGTCTGACTCATCGAGTCTCGGCGATCACTGACTGACTGACTAACAGGTGACATGATTTGATTAGAAAACAAGGACACAGGAATATAACAGCAGGCTTACTAAATACACAAACATCTATTCTAATACACCCACATATAATCAGTCAACTGAGTATCTCTACACCCAATTTGATCAACATTATTAAAAGATCATCAAGTCATCAAAAGATCATTGTTTATAATTAACTAAACCAATTATCAAGCCATTCATTTCAGTATGGCTCAGGAGGGTGTGTGTGTGTGTGTGTATTAATCAGTGGACACAGGGCAACAGGTTTTACATGATTGATTCTGAATCTTTCTGGCAATCCTTTGTAATCTTTGAGAAGCCTAATGATTGTTTTGAAATTTATATGGGGTAAATAATATGAGGTAACTGGTGTGTTGCAATGTAGAAAAACTTACAGTAGCATCATCAGATCCAGTTGCAAAAGCATCTCCGCTAGGGTAATACCTGCATTCATATAGAAGGTTACAATTTCCACAGACAATTAAAATACTTAGTATATAAAACCATGATCTTCACTCACAAAAATAGTCTTCTTTTAGCACTTTATTTTACATTAATCACCAGCAGGAAAAAAACACAAATGTTTCGGCTCAAGGCCTTCTTCAGAGCGTTGAACAATTCAACCCCTCCACCCACTTTGAAAGCTATAAGATGGAAATTAAATACAAATTTGATAAGCGACAACTAAATGATCTTCAGAGAAAAACGGACGAAAAACTTGATAAATTCAGAATGGAATTACTTAATGTCAAGATTCACCAGTTCAAAAGAGACACCATGGACTATAAAGACTTCAAAGTCTACACTTGGATGTCGGATAAACCAAAACCTCAGCAAAAACGAGGGGGAATGAGACTCACAAGTGCTTCTGAATCAGATGATTCCTATACGTCGTCTTCTCAAACTACATCTTGACAAAGAAAACCTTTTTTGGGCCAGCCCCGCCGTTCCAAATGCAATCAACCAACTAGAAGAGGGCGTCAGGGAAAAGGAAAAGGACTTCGGGAGGTTACTTCTCCCAAATGTGCTATTTTAAATCAACAAGATAAAATAGCAAATTACAGTATTGAGCAAAGTGTTATCTTTTGTACCATATAATGTCTAAAATCACTTTATGGTTAAGTTTTTTAGAAATGTGAAATTTTAGGATTGCTGTATTCTAATATATATTGAATAAATAAAAGTGACATAAGACGTTTTATAAGAAACTTGGGTTACACTTTACTTGAAGGGGTGTGCATAAGACTGACATGACACCTTCATAATCATGACATGACACATGTCATGAATATGAAGGAGGTTTTATGCATGTTTATGACAACTGTCATTAAGTGTCATTCGCTCAGTTATGTCATTTTTAATGCAAATATGACATTATTTGACCTAACCCTACCCCTACCCTTACCCCTAACCATAGCCCATAACAAAGACATCTCAAACAATGTCATCTTTGCATTAAAAATTACATAACTGAGCGAATGACACTTAATGACAGTTGTCATAAACATGCATAAAACCTCCTTCATATTCATGACATGTGTCATGTCATGATTATGAAGGTGTCATGTCAGTCTTATGCACACCCCTTCAAGTAAAGTGTTACCGAAACTTGTGTTTAACCCACTCCTATAAAAAACAAATTGATGACATTTTACAAATGGATTTAATAGGAAATGGATTAATGGACATGATTTAAATATTTAAAAAAATGAACATCCTAGAATTCTGGTTTTATATGCTTTACCTGAAATTCATAAATCACTAGAAGATCCTCCAATGCGACCAATTGTCTCAGGAAATGGGTCATTGACAGAAACTATATCTAAATTCCTCGATTCTTTGATTCAACCAATAGTGAAGAAATTACCATCTTATTTAAAAGATACTACCAATTTTTTGGAATAAATCGAATTAAATTTCTTGTATAAGCATGACGGATTGGCTTGTAACACTCAATGTTACTTCTCTTTACACAAACATACCTCATGACGAAGGCTTAGATGTACACAATTTTTATTGTAAAGATGATGACATCAGAGTACCATGTACTCAGAGTACAAGATATAATGGACGTTACAACATTAGTCTTATATTTTTCAATTGAGAAAGATATTTATTTATTAAGTTCAAGGTACAGCGATTGGCACTCCAATAGTACCAAATTATGCCAATTTTTTCATGGGTAAAATTGAACAGGATCATATCTACAGTAACAATCCGTTTTATTCATATATTAAGTTTTGGATGCAAGATATTGATGATTGTTTTATGATATGCTCAGGTTCTGAAAGAGAATTAGTCTTATTTTTGTAATTCATTAATTTGAAAATATCATCTATTATTACACTTACAATGGAAAAGAGTCATGATTCGATACATTTTTGGGGTGTGAAAGTAACTGAGATTGAAGAGTCATTGCATACAACAGTATTTCGAAAACCAACGGATAAAAATCCGATATTAGCTATTGATAATTATCATCCAATTCCTCTAAAACGAAGTTAACAGATTAGTCAATTGTGTAGATTAAAACGTAATTGTAGTACTACATATGACTTTGATAAACAGGTAAAATATATTTTATATATATATATATATATATATAGATAGATATAAATTATTTAGATCTAAATGGTATCCAGAAATTTGGTTAAATAATGCATTAGATAAGGTTAATAAATTGAATAGAAATTACCTTTTGAAATTAGAAAATCCACAAAAAAAATAATAATAATAATTCTCAGTAAATTGTTAATTGACATACAGTGAGCGCAGTAATACAATAAAATCTATTATTTATAAACATTGGCACATATTATCATCTGTTGAATCTCTGAACGATAAATTTCAGTATCGCCCACTGTTTACTTTTAAAAGATCACGTAACCTGTCAGATATGTTGGTAAATTCAGATGTAATGAGGAGAAAAAAAGTGTTTTTATACAAGGCTGTTTCCCCTGCAGAAATTGTGCCGCGTGCCAATACTTGATAAAGTGTAAACAGTTTATATGTCTAATAACACGGAAATGCTTTGAAATTACATCTTGTATTACCTGCTCAACTCGTAATTTATAACAACTTGTGATCTATATGTTAAAATGTCCTTGTCAAAAGATATATATACAGTATCTCACAGAAGTGAGTACACCCCTCACATTTTTGTAAATATTTTATTATATCTTTTCATGTGTGAATGGGGAGCAGGTGTGTTAAATTTGGTGTTATCGCTCTCACTCTCTCATACTGGTCACTGGAAGTTCAACATGGCACCTCATGGCAAAGAGCTCTCTGAGGATCTGAAAAAAATAATTGTTGCTCTACATAAAGATGGCGTAGGCTATAAGAAGATTGCCAAGACCCTGAAACTGAGCTGCAGCACGGTGGCCAAGACCATACAGCAGTTTAACAGGACAGGATCCACTCCGAACAGGCCTCGCCATGGTCGACCAAAGAAGTTGAGTGCACGTGCTCAGCGTCATTTCCAGAGGTTGTATTTGGGAAATAAGACGTATGAGTGCTGCCAGCATTGCTGCAGAGGTTGAAGAGGTGGGGGGTCAACCTGTCAGTGCTCAGACCATACGCCGCACACTGCATCAAATTGGTCTGCATGGCTGTCGTCCCAGAAGGAAGCCTCTTCTAAAGATAATGCACAAGAAAGCCCACTGTTATACAAGCTGTACACTCACTACTATACATTGTAGCAAAGTGTCATTTCTTCAGTGTTGTCACATGAAAAGATATAATAAAATATTTACAAAAATGTGAGGGGTGTACTCACTTCTGTGAGATACTGTATATAGGAAAATCATTGCGTCAGTTGAAATTATGAATTAATGAACATAAATCAAGTATTAGATGACAAGACATAACTTCTCCAGTAGCTAGACATATCAACGAGCTGGGACATGACATCAAACAACTGGAATGTATAGGTGTAGAGGAAGTTTTCGGATCACGTAGAGGAGGTAATTTAAACAAAGAATTATTAAAACGAGAAGCATTTTGAATTTATAAACTTAAATCACTAGCTCCAGACGGCATGAATAAGGATTTAGATCTTTCACTGTAATTAGTTATAATTCAGGGGGAAGTCGTGGCCTAATGGTTAGAGAGTCGGACTCGTAACCCAAAGGTTGTGGGTTCGAGTCTTGTACTGGCAGGGATTGTAGGTGGGGGGAGTGAATGTACAGTACTCTCTCCCACCTTCAATACCATGACTGAGGTGCCCTTGAGCAAGGCACCGAACCCCCAACTGCTCCCCGGGTGCCACAGCATAAATGGCTGCCCACTGCTCCGGGTGTGTGTTCACGGTGTGTGTGTGTGTGTGCACTTTGGGTCACCATACTTGGCCACATGTCACTTCACTTTAATTGGTGAGTCCATTTTAATATTTTGTGAAGTATATCTTGAGCATTTACATTGTGAAGATCAATTGGTTATTTATGACAATGTATTTCTGATGATCATTTTACTTTTGACTGTTATATATTTTGAAATTTAATTCAGGTAGTAGATGATGGTGATTGTTTATTTATAAAAACTATTTCATTGTGAAATTGTTATAAATATGGGACTCTGTAAGTCATGTTATAGCCATGGGTATATTGTGCAATGTATTAGTAGATGTGAAAATTTGTGTTATATACAAATGGAAACTGTCAAGCATTTAATTGGAATATGTGTGTTTGTAGAGACTTAACATTGGCTAATGAATGATGACATCAATAGTTGAGTAGTTGAATTGTTCAATGCACTAAAGAAGGCCTTGAGCTGAAAAGTTTGTATTTTGTCCTGCTGGTGATTAATGTAAAATAAAATGCTAAAAGACTAGTGCAGATCATGGTTTTATATACTATGCAACTTAATAGATTGATGCACCAAAATAAAATATTAAGTGACAAAATAGCACGGAGCAAACGGCTTCATAGAAAACTAAAACACATAGACAGTACTATGGCTATGTTCACACGACAAATTCCCAATTGTTACGGAGCCCAGCACATGGCATGCAGGAAAAAATTGTAGTCTAAATTGTGTGCACGATTTACTAATTTGTTCCCGAATTAGTAAATTGTGCGCACGATTTAGCAAATCGAGGGAATGAAATAGTAATCGTGTGCACGTTTTAGTACATGGAGGGAACAAATTAGTAAATCGTGCGCACTATTTATTTTTTCTTGCATGTCATGTGCAGGGCTCCGTAAATTCTAACTCTTTCCTAAAAGTTTTTGGTTTGTGAGGTTGGTCAGCTTTTACCATTTTATTACTCAAGTATATGCTGTGCATGCATGGCCAAAATTATGTGGACACCCTATTCCAATAAACAGGTTTAGCTATTTCAGCTTTGAACATTGGTAAAAAAAAGTACATCAAATCTAGCATACAGGCATACAATCTCCCAATATAAGCAATTTAAGTATAATTGGGACATTTTGTGTTTTAGCATGACACTGACTGCGCCCCTGTGTACAAAGAGAGGCCCATTTAGAAATGCTTCACTGAATCTGATGTGGAAGAACAGGTTTGCATAAAACCCAGACATGAACCCAAATGAACATCGTTGGTGTGAATTGAAATGGTAACTGCAAGTCAAAACTCATCTTCCAACATCAGTGCCTGACCTTGCTGATGCTCTGCATGGAAGTGAATCCCCACAGGCATGATGCAACATCTAGTGAAAATTATTTACAGATGAGTGGAAGCTGTTATAGCAGCAAAGGCCAACTAGTGCTGATGGTTTTAAATTTAAACATTTAATACACATATGGGTGCATTTTTTGGATGTCCACATACTGTATCTAAAGACATTGTACTAGAGTTATGAGAGTAGTGGTAGAGTTATGCAGCAAACACTGAAAACATTCCAAATCTGAATAGTTAAATAATAACTTTCCTGCACAATCTTACACTTATAAATAAATACATGTGTTTACCGCTTATATGCAGTACTCCAACGATCTTTTCACTCACATTTGTTTTATTATTATTGTTGTTATTGCTTTTGCTGTTGTTTTTTGTTCAATGAACAGCATTTATTTAAAAAAAATTAATATTTTGTAACATTTTTTACATATTTTCTTTACTGTCACTTTTGGTCAATTACATGAATTTGGTCAATTTCAGTTCCGAACAGAAGTATTAATTTCTTCTTCTTTTTAACATTTTACTTACCCTAAATATTTGAATGATAAGGTATCACATTTTCCACAAAGATATCAGGCAGCACAATCGTTTTCAACAATGATAATAATAAGAAATTCTTTAACACCAAATCAGCATTTTAGAATGATGTGACACTGAAGAGTAATGGCTGCTTAAAATTCAGCTTTGCCATTACAAGAATAAATTACAATTTACAATATAATAATAATAATAAAAATTTATTGTAAATTGCAATAATATTTTGCAGTATTATTGTATTTTGATCAAATAAATGTAGCCTTGGTGAGCATAGGATACTTCTTTCAAAAACTTCTTTAAAATCTTAAAAATTTAAATCTTAATTATTCCAAACTTTTTTACTAGTAGTGTATATATACAGTATATACTGTAACTATATATCAATATGTATATAAATGTTATAAAATTACTCCTGTACTATATAACACTTTGACATCAATGGCTGCTTTTGTTGTTCTTCAGCTTTTTCATGCCAAATAAACAATTATGATAAATGTCAGTAGATTGGCATAAAAACATGTCTAACCCAACTGTTTACACTGAAGTCAGATTGTGAAGAAAATCTGATATATATGATTTATTTCCACATAATAAAGTGGCCCAGATCAGAATTCAAAATATCAGATTCAATGTGATTTTCGCTGTTCACAATGTCATGCAGTGAAGGAAAAGAACTGAGGTGTGAACGTAGCTTAAGAGCATTATCAGAAAGTGCCAGGCGGTGGGTCACTCACTTCACACTGTTGATGTCAGACTCATGCGTTTCAAAGGACTGAACATTCTGTCCCGAGCGCATGTCCCACACATTAGCCTTCTTATCACAGCCCTGAAAAACACACACAGCACTTTAGAGACCGGCAGAACAACACTCACACAAAACAGCGTGAATCTCAGGAGAATGATGCCCTAAGAATAGCTACACATTACCCAAACTGACATTGTGACTGAACAACAACCTAATATGTAAAATCAATCCATGACTTACAATGTTAATGATGGCCATTTAGAAATGATCATTTATATCCAGTGCTTTCATTCACCTTTATAAACTGAAATGAGTATTTTGCTGATTCAGCTGTAATGATAGTAATCACATGTGTTGAGTGAGTGGGGGTTGAGATGTGTGTGTAAAACACATGAGTATATGTGCAGATGGAGTTTTGAGGATCTGACCCCTGATACAAAGGTGTTTCCTGTTTCAGAGGGTGCGAGGTCCAATGAAAGAACATCAGCCGAGTGACCATGGAAACTCTGCAGCAGCTGCCCACTCTCAACATCCCATAATGCACATGTCCCATCACCACTTGATGTCAGAATCTGCAACACACACACACACACACACACACACTTCTGTGTCTGTCTTGAACAAATGGATAAGCAAGTATAGATCATTTTAAATTCTCCCTGACATTTTGCAATGACCTGAAATAAATAAAACACCTGTATCACTCTCTAGTGGAGGTACTGATCATTACATAAGGACCACAAACACATGGTCCTTACACAACATTTGTTGTTTCCTACTCTGACCTGAAGAACCAAGATTAAAAATAACCAGCAACAGGTTTAAATCAGTTTGGGAGGGTAAACCCTACAAAAATCATAATCACTGGAAGCCACAGAATTATCACTTTCACATTTTCACTTGCCTTGACGAAAACAAAATATTTCACTTCGTCTTTTTAATATCTTTGTTGTGACTGACAGGAACATAATCACAAAAGTGGAACAATCCGTGATGTGTGACGGTGCAGAGAGAGAAAACCCCAACCACTTTTTTTTTTTTTAAACACACTCATGACAAACACAAACCCAACAGAAGGCTGTAGTGATCATTTTTAGAATTATTCCAAATGACTGTTACACTCACAGAACAGACCAAATCACAGATCTCATGCCAAAAAAGCATTTCTTACTGATCCATGACAAGGTTATTTAGGTTATTAGCAGAAATCATATCAGGGGAACTTCAGGGGATTGCTGTGATAATTGCAATGAGAAATGTGTGTATGTTCTATAAATTTCAGCTAAATCATTACAGACCCATCACTGCCACAGACTAGAGCTTAATTATTAATCTATGAATTATTATAATTTGACCAGCTCTGCACATAGCGAACTGCAGCTCAACTGCAGATCCCTGCAGATCAACAACAACAACAAAAAAAGATTTTATGTTTTTTTTTGTTCTTCATTTTTAGGGCTGTGAAAGTAATGTGTTGGTGTGATTTAAAATAAATAAATAAAGCCTACGCCTCTCTCTCACCTGCATGTCAGAGTTGGTGAAGCTGCAGGAAGACAGATAGTTGGTGTGCATGGCCACAGATTTCTTCTTAGCTGCCAAGTTCTCATTTTTATCCAAAGAAAGAGGATAGACGGAGCATTTATTATCCAAACCACTGAATGAAAGACAAAGTGAAATGTTAATATTTTGCAGAAATGCACAGCAAATAATATATTTTATTTTTTGACTGATATTTGGATTTTTAAATTATGACTGGAAGACATAGTTCTTAAATAATATAACAGCTCATATTCTCTGAAGTTAAGATCAGCATTGACCTATGAAATTACAAAACTTACTAGTACTACTACTACTAATGCTTATGACCCTCTCATGATACTTACCCACAAGCCACAGCACAGCCAGAAGGGGCATAAGCACATGCCATGACCCAGGTGCAGGGCATAGTGACCGCATGCTCCTGTACAACACACATCACAAAAAAAAATCAATTTACATTTTGATCAAGACAAGGTGTCTGGATGCATTTTGCAGATATTTATTAACAAACCAAAGTAATTCATCACAGAACAACTTACATCTATTTATCTATTTAACTTACATTTATTTAAACTTAAATTAAGTATTTATTTATTTATTTATTTGTATGTAACCATGTAATAAGCAGCATAATAATGTACATAATATACATGAAAATGAGATATGGGTGACTGATCGAGATCTGGGTTCTTGTGAACTAAACTAACTGCATTGCAATAGCAAACATGCCTAATTAATGTCTAAAATTACGTTTCTGTTCTTTTTCATTTCAACAAACGACATACACAAACGGAAAAACTGGTTATTTAAACTGCTTTTCTCCATACATGTTATTAAACTCATGCATAAAACATGTAATGAGAATGGAGGCTATTAAAAAAAACACTAAAATATACTATGTACACATATGTCTGAGTATTTAAATGGTCCAGTATACACATGAAAAAGATTCTGCATGCCTGATGTGTTCATGTGTGTGTTTATATGGCTGCCAGATTAGTTTGGCACTAATACCCCCTGGGTTTCCATTAGAGTGCATTACAACTATAAAACATGCAGATTATTATTTTTAAATAGCTCCAAGCACTGCAAAACATCACCCTAGAGTAATGCATGACACAGATAGAAAAATGTACCTTATTGGTTGTATATGCATCCCACACAATGACTTTTCCATCCTAAAGGAGAGATTCAACATTTCAGTAAAGACTTTTTTTAAAGGAAGTAATTTAGCAGATATTTTTATCCAAAGTGACTTACAAAAGACGAGGAACAAAGCAATTTGTCAAGGGGCCAACAATATTCGTAATACACGATGCCAGGTTTATTATACAACTAGATTGAGAAGCAATGTGGAGAAATGAGTGCATTGGAAAGTGCATTGGTTTAAGAATGTGGGTTGTGCTCGTGGAATATGTGTGTTTTCGATTGCACTTTGAAAGATGTGATTGTCGCTGCAGTTTGGGTGGAGATTGGCAGCACATTCCACCAGAGAGAAAAAGAGTGGGTGAAGGTTTTGGAGAATTACTTTTGCCTCGCTGTGAAGGAACAAGAAGGCGTCTCTCATTAAATATAATAAAGATTGTGGATAACTGATATACTGCAGCTTCTAACTCTTTTGGACAACACATCACATTTCCTAAAAAAACATCTGTCTCTATATATGGCAACAGTGGTTAGGTACTGTGACAGTATGTCCTGTTACCTGAGAGGAGCTGACGATTCTTCTCTTGTCACGGCACCAGTCCATGCACAGCACTTTATTCCCATGTCCTTTTAAGGTTCTCCTGGTCTTCATGACAAACTGACCCAGAGCCTCTATCTTCTCCGCCACCTGATGCACTTATGTCAGAAAAACACATTTCCATTATTAACCACATCACCACCTGAAGTAGCACTTTTCCTAAAAACTCATCTTAGCATCAGGAAGATGCATTACTTATTATATTTTTGATGGATATATGCCGATTGACTGTAACGAACTGGCAGGTTTTAAAATTTTATAAACGAATTACAAAAACATTACTGTTGACAAACAATATCATCCTCAATTCCAAAAGTAAAATTGTACTATGATGGCACCCAGCATGCATTGCAGCATAAATAAATTACACTGTTGCATTGATTAGTACTTTTTTTTTTTTTATCTAAAAATAGTATTATCATCATTGTTGCATTTTGTATGCTGAGTACTGTTGTCTTGGTGTCTAGATGACATTCATAAAAGTTGTATAATCTATTTTTACATAAAAAACAATCTGCAAAACAAAACAAATCAGTCCCCAGAAAACACATACTTTGAATTTGCTCATTTGAAATCACCACTATGATTATTAGTTTTTTACTTACTATAGTTGGGAACTTGCACCTTTATATTGAAGAAGAAAAAATACTAATCAGTGCAAGAGTATTCCAAGTAAACACATATACTAAAACTATAATCAATTTTGAGAAAATTTTCACATTTCAAGTTTTTAATAATCATTTACAACTGAAACAGTTGTTTTAGATGTAGTGCGAGGACATTATGAAACATAGATTTGGTATAATAATGAGACAATTCAATTGAAGGTGATAACTGTGTTAAATACATTCTATTATTAATCCCTCATGTATTAATCCCTCAATATTTTCATTTTTAAGCCTAATAGCAGTTACCCTTGCTGGACCTGTTTTGTCCCATGTCTCAAGAATGACTGTTTTAGATCATATGGACACTGACGAAATGCATTAATGTCTTACATTTAGCTGGTGTTTGGCAGATATTTCTGTATTTCAAATCGAGCTACGGAATGTTCGGGCATTCGCACATTAGCTGTGCTGTCCATGAATGCAGTCTAGCTAGGCAGCTCGCCGTGTTTGGACAAACAGCCGCTGAGTGTTTTACTCACGCTCGACGTCGTGTAGTTTGGCTCTCTCCTCCTCTAGTTTGGCTTTCAAAGACTCGGACTCCACTTTCAGCGTGTGGATGGTTTCGCCCTTCGCCAGTCCCTGACAGGCCATCTTTAAGAAAGCACAGCTGGATGACGGATGTGTCTATAAATATGCTCTTTATTATGAGCCGAGACTGATGGCCTGCTGCACACAGTCTGATGATGCTCTGGCGTTAGCGCCAGCGTCACGTGACACATCACCACCATCAGCATCACACTAGTGATGGGAAGTTCGGATCATTTGACCGACTCGGACCTTTGAGTCTCGTTCAGCAAAATGAACGAATCTTTTTTCGAGTCATTTCGTTCATTTTAACAAAATATAATTAAAATGTTACGTGTTACTTCCCTAATATGTCTACTATTACACTACAAACAATACAAAACCGCTATAAGAAACAGAAAAGATGAATTCATTGTTTACCCTGGTCTTCAGTCTATGATTAGCTCACCTCACCTCTTATCTGACAAGTCTTCAGGTTTGGGCTTATGGGGCTGTCACGTGATGAACGAACGACTCAAACCTGAAGACTCGAACCAGGTGAACTACTTGACTAATTCCAGTACAGAACCTTATATGAATTTTGCGCATGCGCGACTGAACGAATCACTCCCTGAGACGACTCGTTCTTCCCGAGTCACATTAAAGATTCGTTCAAAACGAACGAATCGTTCAAGAACGACCCAGCACTACATCACATTTATTTCTGGTGCTCACCGACTAAAGCCCAAAAACACATTTATATCTGATTTATGTATTATATCATTTTATTCAGTCTTTCAAATCATTGTTTCGAAATGGTTTTGCTTGATTTTTCTTCCATCATATTTTTACATTTAAACAGTTCCAAATTTGATGAAACTTCTGATTAATTTATTGCGTTCGTATATGCTGTTTGTAAATTGATTGGTACTTCATTGGTTACTTTTGTGACTACAACACAATTACATGTTGGTACTGGTCTAACTAAATAACACACTAAATAATGTGTTTTCAGAAAGCTCTTAGATAAAGCACTTTACAGATGTGTTCTGTGTAAGTGATGACATAAGGATGTGTTTTGCAGTATCTGACAGCTCTGAGACAAAAAAAAAAAGTCCTAGCGTTTGTCAGTGTAACAGTTTTTAAAATGTCCACGTCCCTGTTGAAAAAACCCAGCATATGCTGGTTAGGTATGTTTTGACGCTGGGATGCTGGTTTAAGCTGGTCCTTTGCTGGTTTATGCTGGTCCTTTGCTGGTTTAAACTGGTCTTTTGCTGGTTTATGCTGGACCTTTGCCAGCACATGACCAGCATAAACCAGCAAAGGACCAGCTTAAACCAGCAAAGGGCCAGCTTAAACCAGCAAAGGACCAGCTTAAACCTGCAAAGGACCAGCATAAACCAGCAAAGGACCAGCTTAAACCAGCAAAGGGCCAGCTTAAACCAGCAAAGGACCAGCTTAAACCTGCAAAGGACCAGCATAAACCAGCAAAGGACCAGCTTAAACCAGCAAAGGGCCAGCTTAAACCAGCAAAGGACCAGCTTAAACCTGCAAAGGACCAGCATAAACCAGCAAAGGACCAGCTTAAACCAGCAAAGGGCCAGCTTAAACCAGCAAAGGACCAGCTTAAACCTGCAAAGGACCAGCATAAACCAGCAAAGGACCAGCTTAAACCAGCAAAGGGCCAGCTTAAACCAGCAAAGGACCAGCTTAAACCTGCAAAGGACCAGCATAAACCAGCAAAGGACCAGCTTAAACCAGCAAAGGGCCAGCTTAAACCAGCAAAGGACCAGCTTAAACCTGCAAAGGACCAGCATAAACCAGCAAAGGACCAGCTTAAACCAGCAAAGGGCCAGCTTAAACCAGCAAAGGACCAGCTTAAACCTGCAAAGGACCAGCATAAACCAGCAAAGGACCAGCTTAAACCAGCAAAGGGCCAGCTTAAACCAGCAAAGGACCAGCTTAAACCTGCAAAGGACCAGCATAAACCAGCAAAGGACCAGCTTAAACCAGCAAAGGGCCAGCTTAAACCAGCAAAGGACCAGCTTAAACCTGCAAAGGACCAGCATAAACCAGCAAAGGACCAGCTTAAACCAGCAAAGGGCCAGCTTAAACCAGCAAAGGACCAGCTTAAACCTGCAAAGGACCAGCATAAACCAGCAAAGGACCAGCTTAAACCAGCAAAGGGCCAGCTTAAACCAGCAAAGGACCAGCTTAAACCTGCAAAGGACCAGCATAAACCAGCAAAGGACCAGCTTAAACCAGCAAAGGGCCAGCTTAAACCAGCAAAGGACCAGCTTAAACCTGCAAAGGACCAGCATAAACCAGCAAAGGACCAGCTTAAACCAGCAAAGGGCCAGCTTAAACCAGCAAAGGACCAGCTTAAACCTGCAAAGGACCAGCATAAACCAGCAAAGGACCAGCTTAAACCAGCAAAGGGCCAGCTTAAACCAGCAAAGGACCAGCTTAAACCTGCAAAGGACCAGCATAAACCAGCAAAGGACCAGCTTAAACCAGCAAAGGGCCAGCTTAAACCAGCAAAGGACCAGCTTAAACCTGCAAAGGACCAGCATAAACCAGCAAAGGACCAGCTTAAACCAGCAAAGGGCCAGCTTAAACCAGCAAAGGACCAGCTTAAACCTGCAAAGGACCAGCATAAACCAGCAAAGGACCAGCTTAAACCAGCAAAGGGCCAGCTTAAACCAGCAAAGGACCAGCTTAAACCTGCAAAGGACCAGCATAAACCAGCAAAGGACCAGCTTAAACCAGCAAAGGGCCAGCTTAAACCAGCAAAGGACCAGCTTAAACCTGCAAAGGACCAGCATAAACCAGCAAAGGACCAGCTTAAACCAGCAAAGGGCCAGCTTAAACCAGCAAAGGACCAGCTTAAACCAGCAAAGGACCAGCTTAAACCAGCAAAGGACCAGCACAAACCAGCAAAGGGCCCGTTTAAACCAGCAAAGGACCAGTTTAAAACAGCAAAGGGCCAGCTTAAACCAGCAAAGGACCAGCTTAAACCAGCAAAGGACCAGTTTAAACCAGCAAAGGACCAGCTTAAACCAGCAAAGGACCAGCATAAACCAGCAAAGGACCAGCTCAAACCAGCATCCCAGCGTCAAACCATACCTAACCAGCATATGCTGGTTTTTTCAACAGGGGTGACAGTTGAACGCTATAAAATTCTTAAGGATCAAATAAATATTGCCGAAACAATGAACAAACATTTGCTTCAAGATTTACTTTAAAACGAAAAACAACGTGTCTATAAATTTTTGAATAAATTACCGTAATATCCACAAATCCCTCACTAACAAAAAAAAATCCAACATAAAATAAATTCACAGATCAGTATTATCAAATGACAAGAGAGAGAGAGAGAGAGAGAGAGAGAGAGAGAGAGAGAGAGAGAGAGAGAGAGAGAAATTTAACCTCAAAACTGTACAGGAGCATAAATCTCACAAAATATAATGTTCAGATAAAATAAGTCAAGATTAATAAGAGCATACATTCAATAAATGTGGTGAAAAGTGAACATCTTCAACAGAAGCAATGCATATTAATGCAGCTTTACTTTATTAAAACAAACAATTACTTTTAAAACAATTCAAAAAGCAATGCAGGTAGAGTTGGACTCATGCATTTTTATAATTCAAATCGGCCTAAATTGGGGGAAATTATTCTGTGTTTCAGACAAAGCAAAATATAAAAAAAAAAAAGAGGAGAGAGAAAGGGAGAGAGAGAGAGAGAGAGAGAGAGAGAGAGAGAGAGAGAAATTTAACCTCAAAACTGTACAGGAGCATAAATCTCACAAAATATAATGTTCAGATAAAATAAGTCAAGATTAATAAGAGCATACATTCAATAAATGTGGTGAAAAGTGAACATCTTCAACAGAAGCAATGCATATTAATGCAGCTTTACTTTATTAAAACAAACAATTACTTTTAAAACAATTCAAAAAGCAATGCAGGTAGAGTTGGACTCATGCATTTTTATAATTCAAATCGGCCTAAATTGGGGGAAATTATTCTGTGTTTCAGACCCATATTCTTATTTTCATTTACATTGTTGTTGTTGAGTTTAGTTACTTACTGTCTTGTGATGTCAGGATGTGTTTGGTCCTGTACTTAAAATGATCATTGATCGTTTCTTTTGCTGTGTTTCATGTACAAATTGTTGAGGCATAAAGTGGCATAAAGTGATATTGTGGCATAAACTTTTTTTTTTTCCTCATTAGAATTCATGTCATGTTATCAGTTTGAACACAACTATCATCTTACAGTTTTTTTTTAAGTCTGTAATTGTTACAGTGATGGCTGATTGTACTTCATGGCAACTTTATATATTTATAATGATATTTTATTTATTATTATAACTTCAGTCAAGTTCTACGAACAGATTTCCCTTTTTTTTAACAGTGAAAGTGGCAGACAGAAATCATGTTCTGAGAGATTCAAGTCTTAAAATACACATCGTGTTGTTGAACTCATCCTGAAGCAGAAGTGTGTGATAACATACCAGCTCCACACACAGAGAGCAGTAGTTGATGGGCTCATTCTTCAGATATATATTCATCAGAGGTTTGTTTTGACTGCAGTTATCACACGGGCCAAACGTGATGGCCAAAAACGTTTGGTCGCACATCTTTTCGTCTGGTTGAGGCTAGACCTGAACACGAGGAGGAAAACAATGTATTCACAACAACCAAAATCCACACACACAAATCATGGGTGTTATTCATTATAACATAACGAATTTATTATAATTTTATTATAACATAATAAATAACATGCTATTTATTTATTTATGCTATTTTTAAAAAGACACACTGTCCGATATGTCCTGACCAAACTTTCCATTTCAGCAGTAAATGCATTAACACCAGGAAGAAAACTTTCACCATTTCATGGGTTTTTAAATGTTAATTTTTGCCATGGTGTGTGCGCTAAACATACAGATAAGAAGTAGAAATGAGCGTACAAATGTTTAGTGTTGCAAATGGAAATAAGCATATTATAAATATATTTATTAAAGATTTATTTTTGGCATTTTTATTTTGATAGGACAGTATAGCAGTGACAGGAAACGAAGTAGGAGAGACAGAGGGGGGCGGGATCAGGAAAGGTCCACGAGCCAGGACTCGAACTCGGGACGCCCGGAGCGCAACGGCACTATATGTCGGCGCACTGCCCACTAGGTCATATAATAATTATATTATAAATATATATTAAAAATTATATTATTAATATTAACACTCATCAATTAATCTTTCAATTACAATTGTAACCATTAACTAAAATTTTCATGTTACCAGAGTTACAGTAATGTTCAATATTTGACTGCATTCAAACTCACTAATGCAATCAGAGCAGTAAACTATGCTGGGATTAAAAGAAGGACTTGCTTTTGTTGCATAGACACCATCAGAAACCTGTAAATAACATTTTCCAGATTCAATTGACACATTAAGCAAAATAAACGTATTTAAACTTACCTTTGAAAAGATGTATCAGGTGTGTGCTTACAGGCTGCACTCTTAAGAGGGAGGAGAAAGGGATTGAGCCTGGGAAAGAGGCAAGCGATAAGCTCCTTACAGTAACATTAGGGTTTTAACCCTGGAGAAGTTTTACCAGCAGAAATAGTAGCCAGTCAGAGGCAGACATGGGGCAGAGACTCACACATAGTACTGCTTATTTATGTGGTCTTCATAAATTGCCATTTAGATCTTAAGTTTGGCCTTTTATCAAATCAAGTGACAGAGGAATCAACACAGGCTGTACACTGTCATTGAAGCAAACTGTGAAAAGTGCCAAATTAAAAGTCTGAACCACACATAGTCATGAAAAATGCTTTGAGCCAAATCATGCAGGTTGATCTCCACACTATATTACCTGCTACATTTTGCAGAGATTAAAAGAGAAATGTCATGGGTTGACATTTCCTTTTTAAGTCACTAGAGAGAGCTGTTAAGTGGCTTCCCTCTACTGTTTTCTGTTTTCATTATACCAACATATGCTGTTGTTACTTTTATTAGGCACAAGTATCCTCAATATGTTTCTGTCCCTCCATTGACAGTCCAGGTAACCAAAACTTAGATGATTCAATGAATCCATATGAATTGAATATATAATAAAATATGCAGTATTAAGAACTGTATTCATCCAAAATTAAGGACGAATATCATATAAACACGATGGCTGTGTAGTGTTTCAATTTTTTTCAGAATTTAAGTTAATCTGGAAGTATGAATCCATGTATGAGGTAAAAACCTAGTTAACAAAAATATGTTCTAAGAACCTTTTTATAACGTTCCCATTCAGTTATATTTCTAAATGTTCTCTGTATGAACAATCCAACCCCCACTCTTAAGAAAAATGGTTATGGTTAAATGATTGGGCTTGTAACAATAGCAGAAAAGCAGAAACTTTTTTATAAGGTTCCATAAAGAGCCATGCTTTGAAAATGCTATATAGAACCTTAATATAAAGCTTTGAAGAACCTTTTAAATAATACTGTATTTTCATTAATACAACCACAATTCCAGAAAAGTTGGGACGTTTTGCAAAATGGAGTAAAAAAAATCAAGTATCTGTGATTTGTTAATCCTCTTGAACTTTTTGTAAATATAAACAAATTTTGATTTTGATGGCTGCAACACACTCCAAAAAAGTTGGGACAGAGGCAAAACAAAAGGGAAAAGTTGATAGAATATCCAAATTAAACTGTTTTGAAACAGTTCACAGTGAACAGGTGAATTGGTAATAGGTGAAGGTGTCATGTTTGGGTATAAAGGAGCATCTCAGTCTTTGCAAGCAAAGCTCATGGCTCATGTGATATTTATATTGATAATGCCACAGAAATTTTCTGGAGGTCCACCAAGTTTGACAATACTTATTTGAAAATGTTTGTTGTCTTTTCTTCTGTGTTGAGAAGTATATCCGAGTGAACTAACAAGACTAACAAGAAGAAAATATATGGCAGGACTTGATTTTGTCCATTTGTGATGGTTGTCCTTTTGCAAGTCTTTCCTGTCTGCACATATGATCTCAATAATGGAGCTCAACAGTGACCATCGGGTGTTTGGTCACCTCTCTGCACGGCCATCCTCCCGATAGTTTGGCAAAGCAGCCAGCTCTAGAAAGAGTCCTGGTTGTTCCAAACCTTTTCATTTAAGAATTATGATGGCCACAGTTCTCTCAGGAATCTTCAATGCAGCAAAATGTTTGGTAGCCTTCCCCAGATCTGTGCCTCGACACAATCCTGTCTCTGCATGCTCAGATATGCATTTCCAGATGTTAGACCTTAGATAGGTGTGACTTTCCAAAGCATGTCTAATCAATAGAAATTGGTGGACTGCAGTCAAAGTGTAGAAACACCCATCTGATCCACAATCCACCCATCTGAATAAATTATATTTTTAAATATGAAACTAACACCGCCAGTAGGTGGTGGCAAATCACTGTCTTAGTGAAAGAGTCATGGAATCATTCGGTTCGTTCAAAACGGCTGATTCATTCAGGAATGAAGCAGTGATTTTACGAATGAATCATTTGTCCAAATGCGGCTTCATTCAGGAACCAAACGCGCAACTCTTCTGATGTGAATTTATTTTGAAGGCAGTGGTTATTTGCATTAAGTGCAAATAGCGAAAGATGCTATTTACAGTAAGTGCAAATAGCCATAGATTCTATTCACACTATGTAAAAAAATCAATAAGGGATAGTAATTAGATGCTATTAATACTTAGTGCAAACAGCGGTAGATATCTGATGGGAAAAGGGAGAAGAACGGGAGTTCGAACTCGGGTCGATCACGTTGTAACTTACCACCATGTCTTACTCAAACTGCTTTTGAACAGGGGTCTTTTCTAACGATGTCAATCCCAACCAGATTTGCTCTTAGACTAGTGTAAATAGACATTCGGTGCATGGAACCATTTTTGTTGGTGCTAGAGCAAATCAGACAATATTGTTCTTTTAAGTAAGTAAAATAAAATCAGCATCACATTTGCAGTGCTAATATTGGCTGCACACATTTGTTTTTTTTTAAGAGTCAGATTCAGAGAATTACCAGTTGCCTCATTGGTTAAAAAATTCAAACATGTTACATTACTATTAAATAAAATAAATGGAATTAAAATGAAAAGTAATCACTTTGGTAATCTAAAATAGATTTCGGATGTAACTGTAATTTGATTTCCACCCATTTAAAATGTAACTAAAACGAAATACAGTTACTCATATTTTATATTTTAAATACGTAATGAAGTTACATGTATTTTACTTCACGGCCGTGTGTGTCAAGTCAAGTCAAGTCAAGTTTATTTGTACAGCGCTTTTTACGATACAAATCATTGCAAAGCAACTTTACAGCAAATTAAGTTTCTACAATATTTAGTGGTAGCTTATCAGTGGTGACTGTCAATTAATGTACATATGGCAGAAATGTACGGAAAAATCAATTTAAGACATAATAAAACAGACGATGAACACTATTAACCGCAATTATTATATGATGCAATCAAACTTATAGCAAAATGTGGTAGTTCTGTAAGTTGTTTCAGGGTTGGCATCATCTGAGGTCCTCTGAGGGGTTGCATCATCTCTTCTCAGGTGTTCTGGATCCAGACTGAAGCTTGTGTAAATCCTAGTTACATTGTTTTGGTTATTTTTTTTGAGTTTGTGGATATGCTCGGCCCTGGCAGCTTTTAGAGCCTGTCTATAGCTGGACATACTGTTTTTCCACGCAATTCTAAAACCTTCCAAGTTAGTTTTTCTCCATTTGCGCTCAAGACTACGAGTTTTTTTCTTGAGAGAATGGGTATTACTGTTGTACCATGGCGCAGTACGTTTTTCTCTAACCTTTTTCAATTTGATGGGGGCAACAGCTTCTAATGTATTAGAGAAGATAGTGCCCATGTTGCTAGTCATTTCGTCTAGTTCATGTGTACTTATTGGTGTGTGTGTGTGTGTTTGTTGTACATGAATTATGCTGAAGTATTGATCTTGCCTTTCATTTACATCTCAACTCTTTCTACCTGTTCCGCTTTTCTTCTCTCTCTCATTACACCCCTTTCTCTACCCCCTCCACAACCCTTTTTTCTTTCTTGCTATTTTGTATATTTTCTCCTTTATAGTTAAAGCAATTGTGATAAATGTGTAAACTATTAGAAGAACTGTTTGCTGTGTTGTGTGTAATTAAGCAAGCAGTTACTAGTTTGGGGCCTATTGAAAATATACCTTGTGCATCTGATCATATTACAGATTACAGAGTTTTGTTTGTTGTGTTTGGACAAGTGGTACATAAATGTTTGTGATTTGTGTAAAACCACTAAAAGGAGCTACAATTGCTTTTTCAGATATTTTAAAGTATTGGTTGGCTGTATTAACTATTATGATATGATTGTATCTGACAATAGAAGTACACTGTAAAAAATGACAGTGAATTTAACAGTAAAAGACTGTAAAAATGCTACAGTAAAAACCTGTTAAATGGTTAACGGTAAATTCCCCTATTATATACGGTGAAAAACTGTATTGGACATTACATGTATTGGACATTAATTTTACGGTAGTATACCGTTTTTGGAAGTGAAAAAAACCGAAGTGAATAACCGTAAATTGACATTCCCAGAATTCCCTGCATTACATTTCAAATTTGATGTTTTTTTGTTGTTGAAATAACCATGTTTCTTCTTAGTTTTTTCTTATCAGTTTTGTATATTAGGGTTGTGTGTTACACCTAATGTTGTTAAATGAATGTTTTTTGCATTATTTCAGTTTCATGTGTGTTACCATGATGGTGTTTAGTGTTTGTGTGAATGCCACTGTGCACCTTCTTAATACGTTATGTCTTGGAACTTATTAGGTGTGTTGACTGGTATATGAACATTACATGTCCTTACCTGTTATTCTCCAGAAGTATCCAGGTTTGCTATTTTAAAATAGAAATACGTAACATGGTTTTGTAATATAATTAAAAAGAAAACGTTCACATAGTACTGAATTCATTTATTTGACTTTTGAACAGCTTTTGACATTAGTATATCACTCCATGAAATTGCACTGATGAACACATGAAATAATTACAGCTACAGGAACTACAAACTCTCTGAACAACCAGTCTGACCAAGCTGAAGGAGAAGCAAACACATGAGATGTTCAACTGATCTGCATTACTACAGCATCTATCAATGTCTGCATAAGCTGTCTTTATACAAGCATGAGAGCGGGCTGATTTTGATACAGTGAGCATCAGACCGTGGACTAGCTGATGTAATGTGGATGTCATTTTTTTTACAAACCACTTCAGAATGTAGAGCTGAGGAAAGTCTAAAACAGGGCTGTTTTTTTTACAATATAGGTTTTACAATATTGGTTTTGTAATATAATTAAAAAGAAAACGTTCACATAGTGCTGAATTCATTTATTTGACTTTTGAACAGCTTTTGACATTAGTATATCACTCCATGAAATTGCACTGATGAACACATGAAATAATTACAGCTACAGGAACTACAAACTCTCTGAACAACCAGTCTGACCAAGCTGAAGGAGAAGCAAACACATGAGATGTTCAACTGATCTGCATTACTACAGCATCTATCAATGTCTGCATAAGCTGTCTTTATACAAGCATGAGAGCGGGCTGATTTTGATACAGTGAGCATCAGACCGTGGACTAGCTGATGTAATGTGGATGTCATTTTTTTTACAAACCACTTCAGAATGTAGAGCTGAGGAAAGTCTAAAACAGGGCTGTTGGATCGGTGCGACAAGTCTGAGATTTTTAAAAATGTGCAAATAATTTTTTTAAAGAGCCATTTGGAAAATTATACCCATTTTTTCAATAGGAATGTTATAGGTTTATGCTTCACAAATGTAAATAAAGCAAATGAATAGAATATGAAACACCACAGAGAAACAAACGTGTTACATTGACATGTCGTCCATTCAGAGGTAAGGCTTTATCTAAAATATGACAATGTAAATAAAACCATGTACAAACACGTCAACATTCAATAATTTTTTTTTTTACATTTCCATTTGTGTTCCAGTACAACTTTATTATTTTCCATTTGAAGTAATATGCATTTTTTTTTATATCAAATTGCATTTGTAAATCTTCCAAACATTTTTATTTGTATTCCATAAGAACTGAACTAACAACACAATAAAAAAAAAAAAGCAAAGGTCACATTCACACAATGGTCCCATGATCATAAACTCCTGAATGATTCTGTACACTGATTAGAATTGAGATGTTGAATGCTGTATTATATTAATATTAATACACTGTCTGCAAAAAATAACCACTGATCACAATTTTGATCTCGTTTTCCAGTAAAAATATGTAAATGACAAAAAAAATCTAAAATTATGTAAAGGAAATAAATTTAACTGAGAAGCAAAATAAGACATTTTCAGAGAATATGTTAACTTTATCCCCTTACCCCATTAGGAATTTGCAACTAAATTTTTGCAAATGCTTAAAATATGGAACAATTTGCCAATGAGGTATGAAAAAATAAATGTAATTCAAGATATGCAAAAAAAATGTAACTGGAAAACAATACAAAATTGATTACAACTATGGTTTGCACTGTCATGTATGCACACAAACACATTTTTTTTCTTGTGACAGTGCATCACAAACATTGATCTCCATCAGAAAGCAGTTGAGACTGATAGAATGATACAGAAGCACTGTGTGATACAAGAAGGACTGTAACTACAGTAAGGCATGATAAAATCCCAGTGCACTATAGTGAAATGGCATAAGATTCTCTATTTAGATCCAAAGCTGTGTGTTAATGGCCAATAACACACTGAACTAGTGTGGAAGATTTTAAAGCTAAAACCCATGCAGTAGACAGCAGAAACAAAGTATCAACATGCACCATTTGACCCTAAAATGTTAATAATATAATATATAATAATAGGGTGTGCGGATGTCTATGTGTGTGATGGAAAGCATGGCGGCACTAAGGTGACTGCTTTAATTTCAGGAGTTACAGATCAAAACAAACAGCTTTCCAATAAAAGCTGCCTGACACATTCAAGATGATACTGATATCCGGCCAGTCGTGAACACAAAAGACAAACAAGCAAAACAAAACAAGTGACAAAAAGAAATTTGTCCATACAGTATATATGAACTCATCCAACAGCACATGCCATAAAAACAATAGCCGTTTCTAACCGTTAAAAACTGAATATAATACTGAAATAAATAACAGCAGGCTTTTGTGAAACATCTTCATGTTTTGATAGAGTCAGTAGTTTGGGGTTTCTTGTAGTTCTGTATGGGATATCCAGTGTGCTTTTGCGCATACAAGACGCTTCTTTAAATCTCACAAAAGCCATTTTCTTGTTCGTCTTTTCATCATCATCAAAAAAAAAAGAAAAAAAAAAGCTTATTACTGTATACTGACCAATATGATGTTTTTTTTTGTTTGCCCATTTGCAAAATGAAGGCCATTTCTCCATCAATTCTCATTACTGTAATACAAAAAATTATAAATTATGATATTTAAATTGTAAAGTACACACGGTAATATATATCACTGCATTACAATAGTGAGAATTTGTGATTAAAATATGCTTATTTGTGATTAAAATAATGCAACAATGCAATCATAATCTTGGTAAAATAGGCTTAATGTTCTTAGTGCAAAAACCGTTTTTGTTATTTAATTCATTTGATATTTCCCTGGGACATTTCTTCATGAGATTCACTAACCAATAAAATGGTGGTCTAGATCCCACCTGAACCAGCTCTAGCTCTGCTGAAAGCTGTGGAACACGGATCTCGTGTTCTCGATATGTTCGATGCTGACAGAGCTGGTCGGTATTATGCAAAACCCAAACAATCCCATCATGCACTGGGTCTGGACTGTACCATCTCTTTAGAAACGATTCCTGAAGATCAGAGATGTAAACTTGAGGAAGCTCTTGAGGAAGGGATAAGCTCAGTGCATGGATGCTAAGTTTTCTTTCGGCCAGAGTTACACCAGACATGATTACTTATTAGCTAATCAACATCACCACACGCAACTAACAAATAAACACCTAAGTTAATGAAGTCAGCTGAGCTCCAAGGTCTTTTTTTTTATTTTACTGAGTCTAAGTTATTATTTTTATATGGATGAGTGCAGAGGACTAGAGTATGTTCCGCAACTGGATATCCATGTTAGCTAGCATCTAAGAGAAAAAAAAATCTGACAGGGTAAAGCAATAAATAAAATATCCTAGCATCATACATATTTAAAAATATTTATATATGTGTACGATTATACAGCCCCGTGAACTTATTCTGGTTGTGATCTGAAAAGGCATTAGAGTTATTTTGACCTTTATTGTTCCTTTCGTAACATTCAATAAGTGAAACATCTCTGAAATATTCCAGATTAAGAGGTGAATCCCACAAAAATATCCAGGTCCCGCAATCAAAAGAAAATATAAGAATATATTTTCCATTAGGTAAATAAAGAACAGATCTTTTCAGTTTTTTTTTGCATTGCTGTGGATTTACTGAGTCTAAGTTATTATTTTGATATGGATGAGTGCAGAGGACTAGAGTATGTTCCGCAACTGGATATCCATGTTAGCTAGCATCTAAGAGAAAAAAAAATCTGACAGGGTAAAGCAATAAATAAAATATCCTAGCATCATACATATTTAAAAATATTTATATATGTGTACGATTATACAGCCCCGTGAACTTATTCTGGTTGTGATCTGAAAAGGCATTAGAGTTATTTTGACCTTTATTGTTCCTTTCGTAACATTCAATAAGTGAAACATCTCTGAAATATTCCAGATTAAGAGGTGAATCCCACAAAAATATCCAGGTCCCGCAATCAAAAGAAAATATAAGAATATATTTTCCATTAGGTAAATAAAGAACAGATCTTTTCAGTTTTTTTTTGCATTGCTGTGGATATGTTTTGAGCATTTCTGTCATTGACATTATTCTCAGCGTTGATTCTCATTAATGATTTTTATTCATAATAAATCATGGTATTAATTCTTAATTAAATATTTATATATGTGTACGATTATACAGCCCCGTGAACTTATTCTGGTTGTGATCTGAAAAGGCATTAGAGTTATTTTGACCTTTATTGTTCCTTTCGTAACATTCAATAAGTGAAACATCTCTGAAATATTCCAGTTTAAGAGGTGAATCCCACAAAAATATCCAGGTCCCGCAATCAAAAGAAAATATAAGAATATATTTTCCATTAGGTAAATAAAGAACAGATCTTTTCAGGTTTTTTTTTGCATTGCTGTGGATATGTTTTGAGCATTTCTGTCATTGACATTATTCTCAGCGTTGATTCTCATTAATGATTTTTATTCATAATAAATCATGGTATTAATTCTTAATTAATTACTGCATTCAAGTGAATTTTAATTACTATTTTAATCAGCATATGTTAGCAAATACTATACTATGTAAATAATATATTTGTTTTCACATTACAATAATAATGCATTTCAGTAATAAGAATTTTTTGGGGGAAAGTGCTTAGTTGCCATTAAAATAACAATGTCAAAATATTAATGGTCCTAAAGATGAGCTTCATTTTCTTTAAACAAAATATAGCTTCTTATGTGTTTCTTTTGTTTTTGGGGTCAATTGTGATCTGAAAATGTGCTTGACAGGTTTTGTGAGATTCACTCTTTTATTGAATAAATAAAAGTGATGAAGTGCAAAAAGAAGGATTGATGACATGATCTAAATTGCATTATCTTTAAGTGTGTGGCTTATTTACCTATAATCATCTTTTTTTATTTTTTTATATATTTTGGCTCTCTGTTCCTGCCGTGTGATTGGTTGAGGTGAGGTGATTGACGGGTCTACACACGAGTGAGGAAGCCCACATTGAGGCTGCTGGGTATCTGAATTGTTTCCAGGGCCAGGGAGGAGGGGTTAAAGGGGAAGGTCACGGGGTAGATGACTTTGGTGTCCATCAGCAGCTGAGGCGACTCCTTTCGATCCCGTAAACGTGTCTGGCAGAGCAAAGACTCAGATTAAAGCATTCACACATGGACAAACATACAGTATAACGACTTAAATAGCACAAGAACTATTATAAGGTTGAGTTTTTGAAACATACCTGTATTGTTCTTATGAACTGTACTGACACACGCTCTTCAAACGCATTGACAGGCGTATACAAGTTCAGCACCTTCACAATCTGGACAGAAAATAAGAAATGACGAGGGAGTGTGTGTGTGTCAAGGGTATTATAATTAGCTAAAACTAAAGCCCTGTCCACACGAACGCGGTTATTTTTAAAACCACAGCTTTTTCTACGCGGTTAGGCCGTTCGTCCACACGCAAACGCAGCACCAGTTCACTGAAACCGAACATGTTTGAAAACGCCTGCCAGGGTGACGATTTTCAAAAAGGAGTTTTTGGCTTGTGATGTCGGAGCATGTGCTGTTATCTCCGCCTACTGGAAACTTTTTCAGGCTTCTTATTGGCCAACATGGCTTTACGGTTGAGATTATATCGCCACCTGTTGGTTTGGCATGCTGTTGACAGTGCTTCATAGCATGCGTTTGCGTTTTCATGTGGATGGAGATTTTTTTTTAAACGGAAGAAGGAAAAACTTGTTTATAACGTTTATAAAAAATACCTGTGTACGTGTGGACATGGTCTAAAACTGAAACTAAAACTTAAAGGGGTCATATGATGCGATTTCAAGTTTTCCTTTCTCTTTGGAGTGTTTCAAGCTGATTGTGCATAGATAAGATCCCTGAAGTTGCAAAGACTAAAGTCTCAAAACCAAAGAGATATTCTTTATCAAAGTTAAGACTCTGCCACACCCCCCTAAAACGGCTCGTTCTAACACGCCCCCACATATCTACCTCACTATGTGGAAATATTAGCTACTGTTTTGTTATTAGTTTAAGTATTTGCTATTGACTGTTCAAATGTGGAGTTTTGCGTGCGTGTGTGTGTGAGAGAGAGAGAGAGGGTCACATCACAGTGGAGTCAGCTGTCCGTGGCTTGTGTACTGCAAACACATTCCAGCTTCATCACTGTGTCTGTCACGCGACTCTGTTCCCCTGTCGGGCCCTGTCTTTACATTTATTTTGAAAGATGAAGCTCGCGATTATGGGAAGGGGCGTTACATTTCCGACGAGTGCTTGCGGTGTTCAGCCAATCACAATGCACTGGGTCAGCTGTCCAATCAGAGCAGACTGCGCTTGTCGGAAGGAGGGACTTTGTAGAAAATGAAGCATTTGAGAGAGGCGGGGCATAGAGGACCTACAATAATGTACAGTATTTGAAAAATAATGCGTTTTTTGAACATTAAAGCATGTCAGCATATTCTGTTACACCAAATACACAAAATAATGATCTTTAAAAAAGCATCATATGACCCCTTTAAACCATTAAAAAAATCATTACTTCAAATAAAATACCCATTGATGTAAAAAAATTATATATATACAAAAATATAAAAACCTAGTAAAAACAACAAAACCATAACTATAATAATATTATAAAAACATTCAGTATACTTTGTTATTCTGACAAAATGTCTTATCTGGTGTTTTTTCCTTTATTTTGGAAACATTACCACAGTAAAACATGAAGAAAAAAAATTTATTGAATTAAATTTTGGTTGACAATATAAACATGATTAAAAGAGTACTTTTGATCATAATGGTTTTAATTTAAAAAGTCATGAACACTGCACTGAAACAGCTAAATATGTAAATAAAACACGGTTTTATCTATTTTTACTACAAAAATATTGCCTCATGGGATATTACAAAATGTTGTATATTGTGAACTGCGCTATAAAGAACTGTTTTAAAATGTGATTCTTGAATTGATTGTAATGTGTATTCTTTTTTTAAAAAGTAGTGAGCGACAACAGTAAGCAGGTCATTATGTTTGGTCACGGGTGAGTGATATTAGTAGGCCTGAAATGTTATAAATTGTCTTTTTCAAATAATTAATACTGGATGATATGAAATCAAATTGAAATGAAATGGTAAACATCTATAAAATAATCAGAAAAATTAATCAAGTGCTCTATAACAGATACAAATAGATCATGGTCATTTGAAATGCAGTCCGGGATGTGTGTTACCTGTGCTGTAGAGAGGCCGTTACACATGGAGCAGATGGCCTCAGCATCCTCATCGGTTTTCTTCTTGACCTGCAGTAGTTGTGCGGCCTGAATCAATGGCTCCAGCGTCTCTTTCGCACCACATGTCATGAGGTTCTTATCTCTCAGCAACTCCTCCAGCTGACTCACATTATACCTGAACACACACACACATATAAACCCTTATACTGGAGATAAGATAACTGGAAATAAACTATGACCGACAACTGAATCCTGAGCTAACTCTACATATAATGTTATCTACCAAAAGATTGGGGTCGGTAAATGTTTTTTAATGTTTTGAAAGAAGTCTCTTAAGGCTGCATTTATTTGATCAAAATACAGTAAAAAAGCAATATTGTGAAATATTATTATAATTTAAAATAACTTTTTTACATTTTAATACAGTTTAAAATTTAACTTTTTCCTGTGATGGCAAAGTTGAATTTTCAGCATCATTAATCCAGTCTTCAGTGTCATATGATCCTTCAGAAATCATTCTAATATGCTGATTTGCTACTCAAGAAACTTATCTTATTATCCCTATTGAGAACAGATAAATAGAATGTTCAAAAAGAACAGCATTTATTTGAAAACAAACATTTATATATATATATATATATAGATTTTTATTGGTCATATTTACAAAATACTAGGTTTTAGTGATTCTGCCAAAGTTAATAGGGCAGGAATTAGTATTTTATATTTAGCTATGACTTTTCTGTAAGATTTATTTAAGAAAGAATTCAACATACAGTGGAGATGAAAATTAGAGAACAACCTACAATTTCCTGAATTTCAAGGTCACTGCTTAGTCCTATTTGAAGTTATCCTAACAAGAGTAGAAGGACAGTGTTTTAAGCATATTTAACAAATTAACTGTATTCTGAAGCACAGTATAAAAAACTTAAACGAGATATTTGAAAAAAAAACTCTTACAGATACCTCCAAGTTATTAGTGTTAATCTGGCACCTGGTGCTACTTTCCTTGATTATATGACAAACCCTATTTAACTGGAAGCATACCTCCAATTTTCACTGCGATTGCAAGATGGCGGAGGTTGTCCAGATGAAGGCTAAAGGGATGACCCTTTCAGCCACTGCAAGATAAGTTGATTGTTCTAAATTTGTGATTTCCACATAGGACAAATGCACGAGAGGGCAGGATAATGCGGAGACTCTCAATGGGGAATCGGTTCAACACTGCAGCTGGAATTGCTTGCCAGTTCAGCGCTGAACAGGGTAAGGATCTGTCTTGGTACGTTTAAGAGAAGTCAGACTAAAAGCACACTCTGCAGTGATGAAGCCTCTCATTAACAGAAAGAATCAAAAGGCTAGGCTCACCTTTGCTGAGGAGCATGTTGTAAGGAGAGAGGAAAACTGGTTCAAAGTTCACTTTAGTGATGAGCAAGTTTAATTTATTTGAATCTGATGGGAAACATTTTCTTTGGCAACAAACTGGGGAAAGACTGAGTGCGTAAAGAAGTCAGTGAAAGGTGGAGGAGGAAGTATTGGGGGGATGTTTTCTGCAGCAGGAGTTGGGCAGAGGTTTATCAGAACCTCCTTCAGCAACATGCAGTTCCTTCACTGCAAGCATCTCCCAATCAGCCTGCAATTTTCTTTGCAAGACAATGCCCAGGTCACACTGCAAAACAGGAAAAGCAGTTCCTTGAAGCTAAGAACACTGAAATAATGAAATGGCCGGCCCAGAGTCTTGAACTAAACCTGATTGAAAATCTTTGGAAAATCCTTGGCAACAAAGTTATGACTAAGAAACCCACTACGGTTACCGAACTATGGAAGAGACTGGAAGAAGAGAGGACCAAGATCACAACGGCGCAGTGTGAGAAACTAGTGATGTCCTGTGGCCACAGATGAGCTGAAGTCATTCAAAGCAAGGGCCTCTACACTTCCTACTAATTTCTGACAGCTGTAACCCTCCAACATTTTAGTTGTAATTTTTCTTTGGTGTTACAGTGGTTACTGTTCTCTAATTTTGATCACTGTTTTCTACAAAATAAAGTTTTGTTGAAATGCCTTGGCTATTTTGTCAAACATGTTAGTATAACAGTGGCATACCTACATCTAATATTCCTTCAAATTTTGAGCGATGAAGATTATTTATTTTAATTAAGCACATTTCCATACAACCAAGGTTGCCCAAAGTGCTGTACATCAAAAGAAAATAAAACAATGAGAATGGGCATAGACATAGAACAAACATAACGTAATACATGATACAAATACACCCTTAAGGATTAATAGCCCGAGGAATTAAAAGCCATAGTTAATAAATCAGCTTTTAACAAAGATTTAAATCTAGAAATGGTCTGAGCAATGAGTTCCAAAGTTTGGGGACAGCAACTGAAAAGGCAGTTTTAATCTTGAACTGGGAACCACTAAAAGAAGCTGGTCAGATGATCTCAGGGGCCTAAAAAAGGAATGCTGGTTCACTAATGTCTCCAGGTATTTTAGTGCCTAACCATTCAGAGATTTAAAAACGAACAATAACATTTTATATTCAATCCGGGAACGGACTGGAACCATTTGAGAGAAGACAGGATAGGAGTAATATGATCACGCTTTCGAGTGCTTGTCAGCAATCGCGCAGCCGCATTTTGAACTGTCTGTAGACATGCCAGGTCTTTCTGGCCAACTCCCATATAGAGAGTATAACAATAGTCTAAACGTGATTTAATCTCTAGGTCTCTAAAAGAAAGAAAGGGCTTAATCTTTGTTAAAAGTCTCAAATTTAAAAAGCAAGATTTGACCACAGAATTTATTTGCTTGTCAAATTTAAATTCTGAGTCAAATAGTACACATACATTTTTCACCATTGCTTTATTATGCTCAGCCCAGAAGCCAAGAAAAGATTTTATAGTGGTTTGGTTTCCAACTGGATCAAAAAACAATCTGTTTTATATTTAACAGAATTTTAAAAAGTTAAACGGCATCCAGTCCTTCATGTCAGTTAAGTGGCAGATACATCTGAGTATCGTCGGCATAACAATGAAAAGAAACACCATGTTTCCTAAATATAGTTACCAAAGTGAGTAAATACATTGAAAACAAAAGGGGGGTGAGAATAGACCTTTGAGGGACTCCACACTTTAGTGGAGCTGGCATTGACATATATTCGCCCAGTTTAACTGCAAAATACTTTTATTTTTGGTACTTGCCGATACTGAGTACCGATATTTTTATTGCATTTGTAAAGTTATTAAATATTGGGTACTGAAACCAAAAGAGTATGTATAATGTTAGTTGGTTAACTTCATTTAGATGCAGGGAACCAATCGTTATAAATCTCCTAACTGTGATATTTTCAGAAATAGAAGGTATCGGTGTTTGGTAATGGGGCATTTTAACGAGGACGAGTACGAGTACAGGAGCTCAGTATCGGGTCCGATACTGATACCAGTATCGATATCGGTGCATCCCTAATTAATATTCTACATATGACTGTTTATATTTAATTTGTAATTTCCTTTAAAATAAAAACATTGCACTGCTTTGCAAACATGTAAAACGTATCTGCACACACCTGATCTGCATGCCCTTGCTCCAGGAGCACATGTCTTTACGCAGCAGCAGGTTGTTAAGGGTGACGGCGCCAATGATGTAGAACTGCTGCTTGACCACCTGTTTGATGAGCTCTGGGTCGGTTCCGTGCTGACACATGATGGAGTGGAAGGAGTTGAGCTGCCGGATGATGGAGTCCAATGTGTATGTCCCCTCATCAGCAATACTGGACGTCCTCTTACGGAGACCTGTTGGCTTCACCCCAGACACGCCCTGGATGGTTTCATGTTCCAGCATGCCAGAGACTGCCGAGAGCAACAGACGGAGGGATAAATACACAGGGAGAGAGAAACAGTGATACAGATCGATAGAAAGACACCCAGAGGTCACATGCTCACCGATCATGGGCTGCAGGATGTTCTCCATACACTTGATGAGCTGTTGGTAGATCTGAATGGCCAGATCACTCAGAACCTGCCGGTACTCGGCCAGGTCAAAGTTGGAGAGACAGTGATCGTTCTGTTTAGAAGTGTTATGCTTCATGAATTGCTGGAGAGAGAAGAAGGAGAAAGTGTTGATTCAGTTTGAGAGAAACTGTGGCCACATATACTGTACAATGCAGTAAAATAGGTCATCACTGGGTAATGTACAGGATTCCCACACCTTTTGAACAATGGATTTTAATGACTTTTCCCAGACATTTCCAGCTGTTTGTGATTAAACACAACACTCTCTCTAGATAAGAAATTATATTTTCTTAAAATTATGGTCATTTGTTTTTAGAACCATTACATTTTTTTGGTGACATTCTTTGTGAATATAAAATTATTTTATTTACAGCTTTAAATTATTTCACCAGCTACAAATTGCTCTTTGTGAATATAATCGCTATAAAATAATAAAAATCTCCATCCATTAAAAGCAGGAGCTTAAAAAAAATCACAAACAAAAGCATCTCAAGTCTGTTCACTAGTACTATATTCTACTGTTTAATTAAAAAAAGTCAAAGTGAGTGAAGTAACGTGGCCAAGTATGGTGACCCATACTCGGAATTTGTGCTCTGCATTTAACCCATCCAAGTGCATACACACAGTAGTGAACACACACACATCAATGAAGCATTTCTCAAAAATTTCCAAACTCATTATATAATCCTGGAGTTAACATCTGTTAACCTTTTAATATGAATATTAAGGTTTGAACATGCAATACAGAGATAGATACAACTGTTGTGACAAATACAATAAAAAAAAAAAAATAAAAAAAAAAACTTGTTTTCAATAAAAGCCAAGAGGTTATATACGTATATGCATTCTTTACAACAACTTGCATTCAACATTCTTCATTCTTTCAAGCATACATATATATTTGTATAAATCAAATATAGATTAATCCTTATTAAAGCTATAAAAGTTATTCAGTCAATAGCAGTGAGTGATTCTCTCTTTTTCTTTTGTTGTTTAATTAATATTAAGGACACAAACAGCAGCAGGTTTATTAGGCTGCGTTCACTTTAAGACCTAATACAAGGATCTAATATACTGATACACATCTGATGTTCTCTGAACTGTTTACATTCACTTATGACATAACTGACTGTGTTTGCACGAATGCTTGCCAATGCTTCCCTTTCTGGGAAGTCGTGGCCTAATGGTTAGAGAGTCAGACTCGTAACCCAAAGGTCGCGGGTTTGAGTCTCGTACCGGCAGGGATTGTAGGTGGGGGGAGTGAATGTACAGCGCTCTCTCCCACCTTCAATACCACGACTGAGGTGCCCTTGAGCAAGGCACCGAACCCCCAACTGCTCCCCGGGCGCCGCAGCAAAAATGGCTGCCCACTGCTCCGGGTGTGTGTTCACGGTGTGTGTGTGTGTGCACTGCTGTGTGTGTGTATTTTGGATGGGTTAAATGCAGAGCACTAATTCCACATGTCACGTCACTTTCACTTTTTCTTTTTTCTCAATTTTGTGTGTATTTGTCCATTCAAGCGTGATAAGACGTGAAAGTGAACTCAATTGTTGTTGACAAAAACTATGAGGAAAATTATACATCAACGAAATTAATACTGTCTGTGTGAGCTGTGCTTTAAAAATTTCTATGCTTTTGACAAGAGAAAACTTACTTTTTTTGCCTAAAATATCACTAATACAGTATGACTACACCTTTATGGTTCACTGTCAACCTTCTAGAGTCCAACTTCTAGAACCTTTTAAACTTTGCAGGGTACATGGCTAGAACTAGAAAGACAGGACATGCATGTCTAAGGTAGGGGTGTAACGATCCATTGGTATGGATCGATACATCGATTAAATGTCTAATGATACGATGTATCGATGCCACACGTAAAATATCGATATCTGTAGTATAAATAGGCACCTTATTTTCACACTGCCCACATTTTCACCAGTGTCTGTCTATGCATCACCGCCAACGTGTGCATTCTCGTTCAAACTCAAGTGTCGGGACGATAAGACTGCCTGAAGGGCGAGCGTAAAAGTTGATGGAATTGTCGAGCGCTTGTGATAAGTTTTCAGCGTGCAGTGACACGCACACACATCCAAAGCGTACACATACAGACAGCTGCATCGACAGCGCGCTAATACCTAATTGAGCTTTCTTCCACTTTTTTGTGCATGGATGAACAAATACAGACCAAATTACATCAACATGTGTGCCTTGGCGAATATCCTAGTAAACACAGTCGGTTAGGTCTATGTCTTAACGTAAACAGTTGAGAAAGAAAACGCATGTGTATCAGTAGCCTATATTGGATCCGTGCTTTCCTTCTTAAAGTGAAAGCAGACTTAACTTCTGTCAAAGAAAAAAAAAATCTCTCACTGATTTTGACTGAACAACTTTTAAGGATTAATCTATATTTAATTTATACATTGAAGACTATGCAGTGTTATTTTACATTTGATTATTACATTTCTGTACCTGAAAATTTATTTTAGATCTACCTGAAAAACCTGAAAAGCTCTGTTTATTTAATTTGTGTCTTTATTATACTGTATTTATTTTCTGCTATTGCTTGTAATTTGGTTATCTGTAGAAAAGGTTTTTAGCATTGAGCCCAAAGTAGCAGCCAAAAAAAGGTCTCAAATAGAGTTAACAGCTTTATTTTTGTATTTTTTTAAATACATTTTTCTACATTAATGTATTTTTTTCTTACAACTGGAGTACCTCATTTGTGTTGTTTCCTAATGAGGATTTACATTATTTTACACATTGCATATTTTAGCACAAAAGCCTGAAAGACTGTCTTGACTGTTGTCATATCTTAAGATTACTGATCTGTCTTTTTTCAATTATTTTTTTTCTTTATTATTAAAAAAAAACAAAAAACTGTAGGCCTATTTTTTGTTGTGAACGTCCCAATTGAGGAACAGGATGTGAAAAGTTAAGATAAATGGGTAACACTTTACAATAAGGTTCATTAGTTAACATTAGTTAACTACTTTAGTTAACATGAACTATGCATGTACAATACTTCTACAGCATTTATTAATGCTAGCTAATGTTAATTTTAACATTTACTAATGCATTATTAAAATCAAAAGTTGTGCTTGTTAACATTAGTTCATGCACTGTGAATTAACATGAACTAATAATGAACGACTGTATTTTCATAAACTAACATTAACAAAGATTAATAAATACTGTAATAAATGTATTATTCATTGTTTGTTCATGTTAGTTAATACATTAACTAGCATTAACTAATGGAACCTTATTGTAAAGTGTTACCGATAAATGTTCATGTTATATGTTTTGGTTGCATTTGTGAGTTAATAAAAATGTAGATGGTTGTTTAAAATAGGTATAATAATATAATATAATAGTACTGATATATATAATATAATATAATAGTACTGATATATCGATTGATATTCTACTGTATAGAATTGTATCGCAGAATTTTTGGAAGTATCTGCAAATATTGTATCGCTGGGTATGAGAATCGATATTGTATCGTATCGTGCTGAACCATTCGATTTCCACCCCTAGTCTAAGGTGTGATATCTCACCTCGTCGCCACTGTACTGTTTCAGGCAGTGCAGGAAACGACATGTGTTGGACAACCAGAAGGAAACAGTCTCGAAGTCATCACCTCTTTTCTGTAGAAAAAGCAAAACAGTAATGAGAAAGGAAGATATTTTGCCTTTTTAAGACTGTTCTAAAAAGACAGTTGTGTTATGAATGGTCTGCGAGAGAGTATTAAGACCTTGAGGATCTTCTTGATGCTGTTGATGACGGAGGTGAGTAGAGATCGGACTTTCTGGTCATCATTAATGTAGTCGGCATGACGCAGACACATGAAGAGGATGTATGACGGCAGACCTGGTATTAAATTCACTGCCACACCACGAGGCTTTAGCTCTGAAAAAATCACACATGCACAAGCCAGTCAGTTGTTTTTTTGTTACTTTATTATTATTAAGGTATTTTGCCACTTTAATTAAAAAGATAGTGGCATGGAATGGAATCAGGAATTGGGCAAGTTGGAATCTAACCAATTAAAGTCATTTAATAGATGTATTATTTTTAGTTAATGGTCTATGTGTCTTACCAAGTATGAGGTTTTTGACCAGTTTGAGTTCATCCTCTTTCTTGTATTCCAGCATTCCCTGGAAATCTTTTTCCCTGCGTGGAATGTTCACTGGATGAACAGGCTCGTCGGCTGTCTGTCCTGGAGACACGTCCATCTGGCCACCTACAATACACAGACAAACATCAACACAAAAACATTAAGGTTCATAAATGTCAATTTAAGAAGTTTAACAATTTTGACAAGTGTTTCTGAACAGTCTCTAAAGACAGCATGTAACACGTACCTTCCAGGTCACTGATCTTCTTTGCGAAGACTTTGAGCTGTTTCTTCAGTTTGCGGACGGTCTTGTCCTGTTTCTCCAGTTGCTCCATAAGATCCTGTCACCACAGAGACAGACATCATCATCAGACAATCACAGCAACAGTATGACAAATGAGTCTCTTTAGCAGGAGGGTGAAAAATATTTAAATAAAGGGTTTATTTGAGAGATTTGGGACAAAGCAGGTCAACCGAGCATCTTTAAGTTCTGCAACAATCTGAAGATATCAGCTCTGTCTTTCATTTGTCCATGCAACTCATTAAACAGAGAGGAAAAAATTGAGAAATAGCAACAAAGATGGGTGAGGCTCACAAAGAAAAGTCACATTCCACCTCATCAAAAAAGAAAAAAATGCTTAATGAAAATTTTGAACGTGTATTTTTTATGTTGGGGTGACAGTTTTTGTGAGATTCACCCAGTAATCGAGAGAGAAACATATTAAAAAGTGTGTTGATTCACATTGCTGTGGGTTAAATACACAGTTAGAGTTCAACGCAGCTCAGATTCTGTGCAGCACACACTAGTGTCAGTTAGTGTTCTGATACATGCGCAAACACATTCATACACACAATCCTACATACAACCATCCTGCGTAACATGCTGATTCTGTAGGCTTTATACTCCTTTGGATCAGCAGAGTGAAGCTCCTGTGAATGAAACATCTCCACATCAGATGAGCCCTCAAACACCTGGTGCAGGTGCACAGTACGGCACTCAGACCAAAATCACAGTCCACGGTTTCATGAGTGAGTAAATCTGAAATCCTTTATTTGGAATCACATGAAACAAAAGGTTAAAGGTGGGGTAAGCGATTTCTGGTAGCCAGTGTTGACATTTGAAATTACCAAAAACAAACACGCCCCTACCCCAAAAGGGTCTCGCCCCTCCGCCCCACACATATGTACGCAACCCAGGCAACGACTAGTTCTGTGAAACAAAGCCAAACCAATGTTACACCGTGTCTACACCGGACGCGAGTGGTGCGGTGCGACAAAATACTATGGAACTCATTATAATCAGTGATGCTGTCTACACTATAGATATATATACATATCTATGGTCTACACTGGATGCGGTGCGGCACGACACGACAAATCCCCGACAGAAAATTGCTGCTGCGTTCTATTCATGACGTATTGACACAAATTTCAAATGATTTTCAACGGTCGCTTTGTCGCGTCCAGTGTACTAGACAGACTTTAGCTGTTGCGGCGCAGACACGGTGTTACTCACCTATCGAGAAGAAACAAAACAACCTCGGCGTCCGATTGCAAGCCTACCGCTCCTTGAGTTCTCTCCAGCGCTGGAAAGCTGATCTGATATTTACACAGGTCCTACTTCTTGCCTTAAGCCTTCTTTTGTTCCGCAGACGTTTTCCTCTTTTGTTTTTTATCCGCCATCTCTATCTTTCTGTCGCTCGGCTCGCTAATGTCCGTCATGTGTAAACGCTCTCTCCTCCACATCATGAGTAGACACGCCCCTTACTGCTGATTGGCTACAAGTTTGCTAGCCGGCCCGAATCAGTTTTCTAAAGCGTTTTTGAAAAATCACTTACCCCACCTTTAAGCAGCAGGCTTTCTGAACTGTTTTTCCAATGCAAAAACCACTTTTGATTGATGTTTTTCCTATTAAAACAGGATATTGGATTTATATAAGAAGTTCTAGCCCTTTATTTTAAAAACACAGCCATCTATGATTTATTTATTGCTACTGCTATTTGGTGGAACGTGATATTATGGGGAGGGACATTCTTATTCTAGAATAAAAAAGAAAAAAGAAAAATCAGGATTCTGTGTATGCAAACTTAAATATTATGCATTATTAACAAATAAATATGCATTATTTGCAGCAGCTTACATTTTTGCCTCATTTCTGCTTTTTTCCCTACAAACAAGAGGGGGAAAAAAACAATACCACCTAAAAATCTATAAATCTGAGCCCAGACAAAATAATCACTGTGTGTAATTGTTCTGCTGCTGTACTGCAGTGTATTCCATCATAAAATGAGCAGGGATGGTATCAACCATGATTGGACAAAAGAATCATAACTATAAATGATAACTATACTAGCGTACACACCAAAATAAATTCAGTTTATTATAAGCGCAAGCTGCAGTTGTCATCTGCCACTTTAAATGCTTAAGCTCTTTAAAGCTGGAAGGATTCTGATCAGTGATTTTATCGTTTATAAGCTGGAAAAGTTTTGAAAGTGATTACCACGATATCATTCCTCTATGCCGTTATCATTATAGTGTGGACTTTTTTATTCTTATTGAATTAGTATGATTATGGACTAAAGGCCACAATACTACATTTATCATACGATAGGGTCTTGAAATGTCATCAGAGATTAAGAAAATAAATGTTTTAGACTGAAGAGCTTTCTGCTGAGGGCCAACATTCATAAACTCATTTTGTACAGGGAAGTGGTTCTTAACCTTCTTCTATATTTGCCCATATTAAGGCCCAAGAGCAAGGCTGCATATCATTTCATTTTGAAAATTTGAAAACAAAACCACCTGGGATTATTAGGCTACTATACTCCAGTTTAATATTATTGTGAAAATGTTGGTTCACTTAAAGGTGGGGTAAGCGATTTCTGGTAGCCAATGTTGACATTTGAAATCACCAAAACAAACACACCCCTACCCCAAAAGGGTCTCACCCCTATTTTGATAGCTCCCCTGTGAAACAAAGCAAACTAATTTTGGCGTCCAGTCTACACCGGACGCGAGTGGCGCGGCGAGACAAAATACTATAGAACTCATTATAATCAGTGATGCTGTCTACATCATATACTATATATATATATACATATCTATGGTCTACACTGGATGCGGCACGGCACGACACAGCTAATGTCCGTCCTGTGTACTAAACGTTCTCTCCTCTACATCATGAGTAGACACGCCCCGTATTGCTGATTGGCTACAAGTTTGTTTTGCTATTCGGCCCGAATCAGTTTTCTAAAGCGTTTTTGAAAAATCGCTTACTCCACCTTTAAACTGACAGTATACTACTCTACTAATCAACTCACATTTATAGGGCACCTAATGCTGTTGAGAGATATAGAAAAGGATGGAGTTGCCAGCTGTGGGTTGACAACCACTGGGAAGTGTTAGAAAAGTGTTTGGACTGACCAGGTTCTCGTTGGTGAGGCGCGTGATCTCGTGCTGTAGACTGGCCTCGATTCGAGCCTCTGGAGGAAGCTGCAGGTTCTGAGCTAACAGCTGCTGCTGACGGTTATTCTCCTCTTTGACACTCTGCAAATCTCCACGCAAAGCCTCCACCTCGTTCTCATGAGACCGACGCTGAGCCTGCAACTGAGACTCCAACAACCTACACAGACAGAGAGAGCAAATAACTAGAAAAACAGTTCTTCATTAGAAGAGCATTTGATTCCGTTTGGAGTTTTTCTGTTTCGAAGCGTTAAAGGAACAGCTCATCCAAAGATAAAAAAAACTTGTCATTATTTACTAACACTCATAATTTTTAACCTAAATGATGTAAGGAGAATTTATAACGAGTTTTATACAGCTTTTATGCAGCATTTCCACACAATGATATTTCACCATAAAAATAGAACATGCAATCTGTGTGCTACATTCCAAAAATTGTGTTGTTATTCACTGTTAATCTTCATGTTTGATTTCTAAAATATTGTGCTGGTCAGTTGAATTTTAGTATCTTTAAAATACTACTATAGCTTTTATTATAACTTTTTAATATTTGAATTCAATTGTATATTTTCTTAAATTTATATTATACATTTATATATTAATTTTAAAGTTTTAGTAATTTTGTTGTGTTTGTCATTTTTGTAACGTCTATACAGTTTTTTTTAATTTATTTTTATTTCAGTTTTAGTTGTTTTAGTACATCAAGTTAAACTAAATTAAAATTAGTAATGTTAAGCAATCCGAAAAAAGTTTTTATATTTAATTTTATTTCAGTGAATAACTATTTCCATCTGGTTCTCACACAAAGCTGCTATATGACTTCAGGTGATTTGGAATATCACACAGTTGCACAGACTAGTTTCATGGTACTTTGGTGGTGATTGATTTTGTCATAATGGTGTGGACGAATGTGATGTTCTTGACATTCAGACATAAATAATGGCCAACTTTTTATTTTTGAGTGAACCATTCCCAACTAAGGCAGAGAAATCTGCCCATTGCTTCTTGCAGTGCAGCAGTACTGACATTTACTCCTAGCCTCTTTATGACAGTCGTAACTACATGCTGTTTTAAAATAAGACTTTTCCAATCTAATTTTCATTAGTCCAGTATTAACACTACAAAGAGTTCTTTCTTGCAGGTTTTGATACTATGAAGCACTAGCCATATGTTATGGAGATCATTCTGCAGGCACTAGTGTTTAGGTAAGTATAAACAGCACAATGCTAGATGATTACGTCTTTAGAAAGCTCAAGGACCAAAATCAGTCTAAAAACGGAGGATGGAGAGATGAGAAAGCTGAAAGCTCAGACTCTCACACATTTCTACATGCTCTCATCTCTCTGTTCTTGAACCTGTTAGTTTCCTTTAACCCTTCATAAACCAGCCACAGTTCTCCATCCTCATTCAGCTTATGGTAGTCAGGGAATGGGGATCTGATGGGGTGGAACAAAGAAAGAAATGGTAAGAATGAAAACAAAAAGTGGCAAACTTTGATGCTAGTAGCATGTAGTGGATACATTTTACAGGTTTGTTAAAAGGACTGTTAATCCAATATGGAATACGTGTGACAATATGTGAACACAATATAAGAAATGCAACTGAGATTTGAGAGCTACTGTATGGAGAAGGGACATATTTACAATGGATAATTAACTGTTTAAATCTGTTAATTACATAGAACTATTTTAGGGCTACAATAAACTTAGTTTATACCTTTAAACAGAGTCACTTTAACCAGATTCCATTATTATTTGTACAGAATAAAACACATACATGTAAAGTTTGGATATAAGCTGAAATGTACAAAAAGGATGCACTGACAGCATCTAAAACAAAGTGTTTTTGTACGCACGGCTTTAAAAGCATTAAAGTCTTTATAATATCTTTCATTTTTAAATAAATATATTTATATAAAATATATGATGTATTATGTATATAAATATATTATGCTTCACTATTATATATTTTTGATATACCACAGTTTGAGAACTATTGCTTTAAAACAACTCATTTGTGTTCCAGTGGGTTAAAGAAAGTCTTCTATGATTGGAATGGCATTAAGGTGAGTAAATGGTGACAGAATTGTCATTTTTTGGGTGAACTATTCCTTTAAGGCTGTCTGATTTGGGTGATTATTAATATGAATAATTCTGATTAAACGACATATTTAAAAAAAAAAAAAGTAATCGGCTAATTAAAAGTAAAACAGAACAAAGATGAAATGCTAACAGAATAAATGATGAAGATAAAATGATGACAAAGACGACTGCAAATGTAGCAAACATTAACATTTTTTAAAAAACAACAATTAGTTTGTCATCTGTTCATTTGCTTTAATTAGCTATTTGTCCACTGATTATGATAGTAACAAATGGCATCTAAAGCAGTCAGCCAGAAGCCACGTGTAGGTTCATTCATCCATCACACTGAGTCACATGACCAAGCATGGCTATGTGTTCCCAAATTTCTTAATTTTTTTTAAGTAATAGGCCACTAGATTATTATAGTTATGTAATATTCTCTAACATTCACAAGTTTGGGGTCAGTAAAGTTCTCTCTCTCTCTCTCTCTCTCTCTCTCTCTCTCTATATATATATGACACCAAGTTTAAAAATGGCATGCACCCAGTCATATTTATAATCTATTACTGTTTTGAATTTCCTGATCTTTAAATCTTATCTAAAATCACTTTTTGTTTCACATCCAGTTAACTTCTGTTAATACTTTAGATTAGGGAACACTATTTACTATTAACTAGTTGCTTATTAGCGTGCATATTACTAGCATACTGGCTGTTTATTAGTACGTATAAAGCACATATTAATGCCTTATTCTGCATGAAATATTCTAGACCCCTTAACCCTACCCATTACCTAAACATAACTACCACAAGTAACTTACTTTCAATAAAGCAGTAATTAGGAGTTTATTGAGGGAAAACTCTTAGTTAATAGTGAATGTGTTCCCTATGTGTTCCCAAATTTCTTAATTTTTTTTAAGTAATAGGCCACTAGATTATTATAGTTATGTAATATTCTCTAACATTCACAAGTTTGGGGTCAGTAAAGTTCTCTCTCTCTCTCTCTCTCTCTCTCTCTCTCTCTATATATATATATAAAATAATAATCATAATAATAACAATACTTTAAGCAGCACAACTGTTTTCAACATTGACAATAATAATGTTTCTTGAGCAAATCAGCATATTCTAGACCCCTTAACCCTACCCATTACCTAAACATAACTACCACAAGTAACTTACTTTCAATAAAGCAGTAATTAGGAGTTTATTGAGGGAAAACTCTTAGTTAATAGTGAATGTGTTCCTTATGTGTTCCCAAATTTCTTAATTTTTTTAAGTAATAGACCAGTAGATTATTATAGTTATGTAATATTCTCTAACATTCACAAGTTTGGGGTCAGTAAAGTTCTCTCTCTCTCTCTCTCTCTCTCTCTATATATATATATATATAAAATAATCATCATAATAATAACAATACTTTAAGCAGCACAACTGTTTTCAACATTGACAATAATAATGTTTCTTGAGCAAATCAGCATATTAGATATGATTTCTTGAGGATCATATGACACTGAAGACTGGAGTAATGGCTGCTGATTTTTTTTCCATCACATGATTAAATTATAATTTTAAATATTTTAAATTGTTACAATCTTTCACAGTATTACAGGTTTTACTGTGTTTTTGATTTTTTTAAAAAGCAACCTCTGTGAGCATAAAAGACTTAAAAAAAAATCTTACAATCTAACAAAAATAAATATATTGTGACATATGAAAAGTATTATCCCTCTGGGGCAGGGGTAGGCAAGTTCGGTCCTAGAGAGCCGCAGTCCTGCAGAGTTCAGCTCCAACCCTGAAAACAAAACTCACCGGCCTATAGCCTTAGTAATCCTGAAGACATTGATTAGCTTGTTCAGGTGTGTCTGATTAGGGTTGGAGCTGAACTCTGCAGGACTGTGGCTCTCTAGGACCGAACTTGCCTACCCCTGCTCTGGGGGATGCAAGTTTAAGAACCTCTGTTGTAAAACATGAAGACAGGGGACAGAGGACATCACAGCATATATATGAGTGGATCCCAGATGATGGACATTGGTAGTCCTGAAGACATTGATTAGCTTTTTCAGGTGTGTCTGATTAGGGTTGGAGCTGAACTCTGCAGGACTGTGGCTCTCTAGGACCGAACTTGCCTACCCCTGCTCTGGGGGATGCAAGTTTAAGAACCTCTGTTGTAAAACATGAAGACAGGGGACAGAGGACATCACAGCATATATATGAGTGGATCCCAGATGATGGACACATTCAGTAAATTCTGCAATGGATTTCATGTTTTGTGATTTAGCATGTGATTGACTGACAGTGAAAAAAAGAGTAAATATTAGTAATGTACCTGTTGGTCTCTTTAAGGCCCATGTAGGCCTGGGAGATTTCCTTGGCATCAGTCAGCTTCTGCACATCCTCAATGTACGGCAACGGTTCAGTCATGGTCTCCTAAACACATACAGCAGGTTCACATTCACATGGAAGTTAAAATTCACAGCATCCATCAACTAACTTTGACTTTTATCAGACATTTAAGCATCAGACACATCACAAGAACAGGTTCTAGTGCAGCACTTCACTTCATTCTCAATTAAAAAAGTGACATTTCAACTTTGTTCAAAAAGGGGTCCTGCATTAAACCGGTAAAGTTACCATTAGCACAGTGTTTGTGGTTTCCAGAAGAATTAACTAACAAACGCTTTAAACTACTTTAAATTAAGAGCATCTTGGCAAGTTCCTTTCAAAGTAACTTCCTCAACACAGAACAATCTTAAGATATACGATTTTAGAGGCCAGAACAGAGGTGAAGTGAAATGATTGTTCTGCTGTCTGACCAACATACCTTCTCATCCTGATATGAGTGCACCATAGGACAAAAGGAGAAATTAAGTTAGAGAGGTTAACAAGACTTATGAAGAGAAAAATGTTAGTGACAGATATTAACTGAGGTGTCTACATGTTTAGAAACATCTGGAAATTCGAATGTATTTTGTGTAAGAATTAAAGGTTTTGTTTCTGACCTTATGTTGCATGGCCTCTTTCTGACTGACGAGTTGAGAGCGCAGGATGAGCACCTCCTCCTTCCGCACCTCCAGCTCCTCGTTGGAGGCGTTCAGCTGATCCAGCAGGACCGTGTACGCAGGAGAACCCGGAGCGGCAGAACCGGCCTCAGCGCTGCCTCTCAGAGACTGACGCATCTTATTCAAATCATGTTTGAGCTTCTTATTCTCTGACTCCAACTCCTGTCGCTAAATACACAAGAGAGAGAGATTTATATACTGCTTTATTTTCCTCATCATTTATCTGGCTTTATGGTATAGCAAGCAAACTTCTAGGTGCTTCAACACCTGTGTGCTTGGAGAGATTACAATGAGATTCGGGAGGAATTTTGCAACCACTGCTTTTCAAATAACCCACTCAATTCTAAAGACTGCAAACTGAAGAGGTTTGCCATAGTGAAAAAAAAACTGAAGGAGAAGACTGTGTGCGTGTCTTTACCTTGAGAGATTCATATTCCAGCTCAGCACCACGTGCTTTCTTATGTTCCTCATCGTCCTGTCAATAAGAACACATTGACACATTATCACTTTATCAATATCAATTACAGTAACACATTATCAATTACAGTAACAATATATATATATACTGTATATATATATATATATATATATATTAACTGTAAACATTATATGAGTTTATGAAATATGTTTTTTAAACTATAAATTTAAGTTCCATCTGTAAAACTTAAAATATTACTTCCTTATTTTTTATGGTATATTTCTGGCAATCACAGTTGCTGTTTTATTTATTTATTTTTTTTTACAGAAAATTCCACATTAAAAAATATTAAAATCGTGTGTACTTAAGAGACAAAACTGTCTCTAGAATTGAAGTAAATATGACAAAATCTCTTTTTAGGGTGTCCTCAAATGTAAAAAAAAAAAAAAACAACAACAACCTGAAACGACTAAAATAATCAATCTTTTAGTCGTTTGGGTTAGAGAGAGTCATTAACTTTAAATAAGAACAGATAGTAAATCCTCATTTAAAAAGTATGTACTGTAAAGTAAATGTGTGTATGTGTGTGTGTCTGTACCCTAGCTCTAGCCCGCTGAAACTGCTCTTCTCTCCGATCGAGTTCGTTCTGCAGTGACTGTTTTTCTTGCTCTAGTTCGGATACTCTCTTCTGCAGCTTTAGGAACAGGGACATGTCTAGTATTGCCTTGGAAACGTCCTGGAGAGAGAATGAAACACATCCCATAATTACACACGCAATATATGCCAATTTATGATACTTTTATGCATATGACCTTTAAAAAACTCAAAGAAGTGTAATGTCAGAATTGGCCTAAAGTGGAATTTAAATGATATCATAAGCAACCTAATGATATTCCACATTCTGATCTCACCTCCCCTCCGCGGGTCCCTTCCTCTGACTCTGCAAACTCTGAATTGTAGGTGCATTCTGATTCGTTGCTGCTGTGCGTGGAGTCTGTGCGCCTGTGACCAGGTTTTGGAACATTCTAGAAAAAAAGAACTCATCAGAAGACTGGAGGGCTTGTAATGAAAGGAGTGTGCAGGATCTGACCCTAAACCAGTTTAGTTATACAGGGCTTTCTTAAGACCCACTAGTTGAGTAGTCATTCAGGCAACCCACCAATTAGTTGAAAGCACTGAAGTTTTGCAATCCTTGAATGAGTGTGTACTCACTACAGCGAGTGTGATCTCCTCTTTCAAATCGTCGTATTTCTCCTCTAGTCGGAGGTGTTCGGTAAGAAGATTCTGGTAGCGAGACCGTTCCTCGTTTAAATCGTATTCTAACTGCTGGGTTTCCTCCTTCAGAGCCCTCTGCATTTTCTCTATAAAACACACAATACATGTAACACGTACACCATTGACACACATTCCCACAGAACAGTCAACCAATATTGAATTACACAAAATGTCAGATTTAACAATCATTCAAAAGTATGTTTTTATTACATCACTTATGTGCAATACTGCATACATTATATTCACTTAATAATAGTAGAAACTGTACATATACAGTGGGGGAAATATTTATTTGATCCCCTGCTGATTTTGTGAGTTTTCCCACTTACAAAGAAATTAAGGGTCTGTAATTTTTATGATAGGTTTATTTTAACGTATAGAGACAGAATACCAACCAAAATATCCAGAAAAAACACATTATATAAAGATTAGAAATTGATTTTCATTTCAGTGAGTGAAATAAGTATTTGATACCCTATCAACCAGCAAGAATTCTGGCTTCCACAGATTGGTAATGCGCCCATGTGGAACACAGATTAGTCCTGCCACTTTAAGAAGTTACTCCTAATGTCAGCTCGTTAGGTGTATAAAAGACACCTGTCCACACAATCTGTATCTTCCATTCCAACCTCTCCCACCACCATGGGCAAGACCAAAGAGCTGTCAAAGGATGTCAGAGACAAGATTGTAGATCTGCACAAGGCTTTAATGGGCTACAAGACAATCAGCAAGAAGCTTGGTGAGAAGGAGACAACTGTTGGTGCGATTATTCGGAAATGGAAGAAATACGAAACAACCATCAACCGGCCTTGGTCTGGAGCTCCGTGCAAGATCCTGCCTCATGGGGTAAGGATGATCATGAGAAAGGTGAGGGGTCACCCCCGAACTACACGGGAGGAGCTTGTTAATGATCTTAAGGCAGTTGGGACCACAGTCATCAAGCACGGGGATGGAAACATTATGCTTTGGGGATGTTTTTCTGCTAAAGGTACAGGACGACTTCACCGCATTGAGGGGCAAATGGACGGGACCATGTACTGTAAAATCTTGGATGAGAACCTCCTTCCCTCAGCCAGAACACTGAAGATGGGTCATGGATGGGTCTTCCAGCATGACAATGACCCGAAACATACCAACAAGGCAACAAAGGAGTGGCTCTAGAAGAAGAACATTAAGGCCATGGAGTGGTTCATGGAGTCTCAATCCTATAGAGGTAAACGACATGCTAAACGACAGCCTAGAAACCTTAAGGATTTAGAGAGGATCTGTAAAGAGGAGTGGATCAAAATCCCTCCTGAGATGTGTGCAAACCTGGTGACCAACTACAAGTATCATAATTTTCTATCATAATTTAGTCGAAATTACAGACCCTTCATTTCTTTGTAAGTGGGCAAACTAACAAAATCAGCAGGGGATCAAATAAATATTTCCCGCACTGTAGTAGTAGTAGTAATGCGATGTGATGATAATAATAATTAATTTGACTTTGACTTAAACCTCAATTTGGCACAATAATGATTCATTTCCACAGAGATTTAATTGTTAGTTTGAACAATTAATTTGCAACATGAATCAAAAATGTTCAGTGTTTTCTCAAGTCTCATTTTAAACGCTTGAAACCGTTTTAGTATACATTTTCATATTTAATTAGCTGTTTATTATTATACATTGCAATATTGGTGCATTTAAATGATAAATAATTAAATATTCTTCCAAAAAACAAATGACAGTCGTAACTAATTTTACATTAAAAGGTAAAAGGCAAAAAAAAAAAAAAACCCGTGGCCTACATTGCCTTACCCTAATAGAGTGACAGATTATAGTTGCACAGTTTTGCTTTACCTGTCCACTGCTGGCTCTGTTCCTGGATCAGTCGGTTCAGGTCGTTTTTCTCGTTCTTCAGCAGGTGGTTTTGCTCCTTTAGTTCTGAGATCATCTGTTACAAACATTACACAAACCCAATCAGCTTGACATCTTAGTCTTTAAAGGGATAATTAATTTGACTTTGACTTAAACCTCAATTTGGCACAATAATGATTCATTTCCACAGAGATTTAATTGTTAGTTTGAACAATTAATTTGCAACATGAATAAAAAATGTTCAGTGTTTTCTCAAGTCTCATTTTAAACGCTTGACACCGTTTTAGTATACATTTTCATATTTAATTAGCTGTTTATTATTATACATTGCAATATTGGTGCATTTAAATGATAAATAATTAAATATTCTTATATTTAATTATTTATTAGACAGTCGTAACTAATTTTACATTAAAAGGTAAAAGGCAAAAAAAATAAAACCCGTGGCCTACATTGCCTTACCCTAATAGAGTGACAGAGTATAGTTGCACAGTTTTGCTTTACCTGTCCACTGCTGGCTCTGTTCCTGGATCAGTCGGTTCAGGTCGTTTTTCTCGTTCTTCAGCAGGTGGTTTTGCTCCTTTAGTTCTGAGATCATCTGTTACAAACATTACACAAACCCAATCAGCTTGACATCTTAGTCTTTAAAGGTTAGCCTTCATTAAAAAGAAACATTTATGTCACGGATGCTTGTACTGAACCGGGAGCACTGTTTTAACTGCTGAGAAATATTCATTTACTCAACACACACCCAGTACTGTGTTTATTGTGGCTTTGCAAATCGTTCTTCTACAACCCTAAAACTACAACTACTACTTCTAACATTCGTGCTGAGCTCTAGTCTCTATCCCTCTCACCTGTATGTATGAATGAACAGATCTCTTCTTTTCCCAGGTTTAAAGCAGTGTGCAGGTCTCTCTAATCCCTGAATATGGAGACAGAGTATATCTGTGTCCTTAGAGGGCTTTACAATCTAGGAGGACTGTCTAAAAGCAGGGGAGTGAAGGTAACCTATGGGTCTAACTTAAAGGAACACTCCACTATTTTTGAAAATAGGCTCATTTTCCAACTCCCCTAGAGTTAAACAGTTGAGTTTTACCATTTCCGAATCCATTCAGCCGATCTTCGGGTCTGGCGGTAGCACTTTTAGCTGTAGCTTAGCATAGATCATTGAATCTGATTAGACCGTTAGCATCTCGCTCAAAAATGACCAAAGAGTTTCTATATTTTTCCTATTTAAAACTTGGCTCTTCTGTAGTTGCATCGTGTACTAAGACCGACGTAAAATGAAAACTTGCGATTTTCTAGGCTGATATAGCTAGGAACTATACTTTTACGCAGCGCTTGAAAACAGGCTAACTTCTGTCAACATAACCAATGTTACCACCTGCTTGCACAGGGAGCGTATTTTCAGGCGCTGCGTAATATCATTGCGCCTGCTGCACCCATGGTGCGACAGCAAAGTTCCTTGATTATTACGCTGGAATGAGAGTATAGTAGAAGAGTCTACAGAAGTCTTCTGACTACAGAAGAGTCCATTTTTAAATAGGAAAAATATAGAAACTCTTTGGTCATTTATTTTTCCTATTTAAAACTTGGCTCTTCTGTAGTTACATCGTGTACTAAGACCGACGTAAAATGAAAAGTTGCGATTTTCTAGGCTGATATAGCTAGGAACTATACTTTTACGCAGCGCTTGAAAACAGGCTAACTTCCGTCAACATAACCAACGTTACCACCTGCTTGCACAGGGAGCGTATTTTCAGGCGCTGCGTAATATCATTGCGCCTGCTGCACCCATGGTGCGACAGCAAAGTTCCTTGATTATTACGCTGGGATGAGAGTATAGTTCCTAGCCATATCGGCCTAGAAAATCGCAACTTTTC